CCTCATATGATGTCACAGATTATTCTATTTATTAAACACTGCTTATGGTAGATAAATTTATCAATATGTAGATATACGGACCGAAAACTGTCCATATTTTTAAAAATTCTTTTCTATTTTCTAAAATTTATATTCATAAATTCATCCAATTTTTTTTCTTTTTTGGTGATAATTTACATGATTTTTTTTCGACCATGTTAATCATATGAGATAATATTTTTATCTTTCATGGCATCAGGCAGATAATTCCAAATGCAATAAAACATTCTGTATATTTTTCTTAAGTAAGGCCACACCAATAAAATTTTTTGTTCGTCGGACCCGCGCGCTCGTATTTAAACGAAACAAGACAAATAATATTATATAATTTAAAATTTCCCGCACCATTGGAATTTTGTGCTATTTTCTGTTCTATTTCCGCTCTATTTATCGTATTTTTCATCTGCTTACTCTGTAAATCAGAAAAAGATATAATTGTCCGCTCAAATTTCTTCACGCTCCGCCTAAAAAATTTATCTACAAAAAGTAATAATATTATTATTTAACCGCTAGCCCGCTCGTACTTTCTTTCATCAAATGTCCGACGAACAAGAAATTAAATTGGTGTGGCCTACATTAAACTCAGCTTGAAAATTGTTAAGTGCGTTTGTCATAACATTGTGTTGAGGGGACAGACAGCCAACAAGTCGTCAATTTAGAATACATGTAGGTACGTGTATGCTGGGAAGTTCAAAGATGTGACATGTGTCATGTTGTGAATTTTGAATTTACCGGGTGGCAGTAAATACAAAATTTACAACATGACAACTTGTAAATTTTGTATTTACTGACACCCGGTAAATTCAAAATTTACAACATGACACATGCATTAATATTTTATTTAGAAAATACCTCGAGAACAAAGATTATGTTATTCACGTAATACTATTGATGATGAATTTTATTTCTTTCTACAGTGTAGCTTGAATATACAAGCAAGGGAAAAACTTTTTTAAAAATATGTTAGATAATTGTTCCTCATTCTACATCAAATCACCTACACAGAAACTTGAATATATACTAAGTCCAAAACTTGAAGTTATAACGGCTGTTTGCACTTTTATAAAACTATCACTAGAATTGAGAAATAAAAGGTCCACATCGGTGCAACATTTAGGAATGAATTTCTATATGTATATATACCAGTATGCGTAAATACAGCAAAATCAAGGGGGGGGCAAATGTGCCCCCTCTCTTCAAATGCGGATTCGGTAGGGTGTGAGGGTGAGATATAGAGGGAGATAAAAGGTTAGCTATGAGTCTCACGTTTTGCTTTACGTTGGATATCCAATTTAACAATATCTTGATTCAAAGAGAAAGAGAAAAGCAATGATTAGACATATTGATATGGAAACATCCTCCAGGTCACGTAGACTCAAATTTGTTCAAATCACAATGGAAATTAGAAATGGATTGCTTTTTCATATTCATAATTATGTTGATTACAATATACATGTATATAAAATTTTCTTTACACTTAGAATATAATTTTATTCACGCCAGACAAGTGACTTTCCATATATTGTGTATAAAACGTGTTGTTATGACTATTATATAACCAAATTTTATGAGGAAAAACAAGCCTTTTAGAAAATCTCATGCATGCTTGTTATAAACTATAGTATACGAACCAAATTTGTGAATGCAAAGCCACCGACTCTTCCATCGTCCGAACGTATCTTCAATTCTCTGTCTAGCTCTTTTGTGCGCAACATTGAATGCCCTGTCAGCTGGTGTACTTGGAGCCCGAAGAGGAGTGATTAAATATTGTCTCAACGGGTAGGCCTGGTCGCCCAAAAGATGGCCAACATAGGGCTGATTTTTAAACCACTCTTTCAGCGAACAATTATTCCAAACATATGCGTCATGTGTGCTACCAGGCCATTGAACAACAATGTTTGTCAGTTTTTTCTTATGATCACAAACTCCCTGAACGTTAATTGCGTGGTACCCTTTTCTACACACATACGCGTCTTCCCTTTCCGATGGTGGTTTAATTTGGATAAGCGTTCCATCAACGCATCCCAATACATTTGGAATATTAAATTCGCACGAAAAACCCTGTTTGATTACAAGCTGTTCTGCTATTCTCTCAGGAAACTTGATGAATTCCCTTGCCCTATTTGATAAAGCTTTAGATGTTTTGTAGACTATTCTTGAAACAGTTGGCTGGCTTACCCCTGCAATGTCGGCGACTACCTGTTGTAGGGATCCAGTGGCAAAGTACCTCAGGGCCGTCAAAACTTGTAGAGAAGCCGGTATGCTCTTGGACCTCATAGTGGGTGGCTCCAAGTCCTCAGCCAACAAATCTATAATATCTAAAATACAATATCTTGGCATGCGGAATCTTACGATTAAGTCTTGATCGTCATACATATCCAAAGGATGTGTCCGGTCCCTGAAGACCCTTTCTCTTCTTAAATTTCTCTTGTTTAATCTTTGGAATATGACTTGGAACGCCATTTCGTAGTTTCTTGAATAACGGGTATGACGTAAAATATTACGTAACAATCGTTTTATACGTAACTTAAAAAACTGAGTACTCTTTATATGCAAAAAAAAAAAAAGATTATAATAAATAAAAGTAGATCGGGAAGAAAGTTTAATCAATTGTATAATTTAATTATTATTTATGTGTTTCCATTTAAATGTTAAATTATTTATTCTTAAGTATAATTAATTTATTTTTATTTCATAAATATGGGCTTTGCCCTTTCCGCAACGTTTACGGATGGTCATGACGTCCCGTAATGTACCGCCGATTTTACGGAACGTTTACGCAAAGTTTGCGGGTGCGGTACTTACGGAGACGTCGTGAATAAGAATTTTTCCCCTGCGGGTCAATTCCGCAAAGTCTACGGGTCCGGTAAGTTTACGGAGGCTTTGTGAATAAGGTCCCTGATGTTCATCAAAAATTAACGTCAATTGTCGTAGATGGAAGACTGATATAGAGCTCCAAACCTTTGTTTTGTAAACAAGGTAAGTGTCATGTTTTTGTTTACATAGATTAATATACTACTTTGTGTTCGCTCAAAGCAGATAATTTCAATAAAGAAATTTAATTTAAAATTTATTTAAAATACGATTCTACAGTTTCTAATTATTTGCTGAATTTCATTTGTTATAAATATTATATTAACAAATGATGTTCAATTTTTGCAGTTCATTTGGATTTTATTTCATTTTAAATATGATATTAACAAATGATGTTCAACTTTTTGCAAATCAATAGATAGTGCCTTAGTTAGAAATTGTAAACCTTAACATTGGTTTTAAAAATCAGATGAAACTGTGTCTATTTTGCAGATACCACAATTTCTTAAATATATAACACTACAAATGAGGGACTTTTCTTAATGGTAGAAAATATTTCGTGACGAGACACATTTTTCTAAATGACTAATCCGATGTATTTTATTTTTGTTCTTTTTTAATTACCAAATTGAAAACAAAAAGATTATTTATCTTGATAATTTCTTTTTTATTATTTGTTTATTTATGCTCTGGTGATTTGAGAAAAGGTTTTGCCTATTTAAAATGAATAAGTCCCCTTAGTATACGAAAATCAATTGTAAAAGTACAAATAGTTTGAAAACAAAATATCAACATTAAAAATCTTGAAATGCTCAGTATAATAATAATAATTCAAACTATTTCCTAAATGTGTTTTATGAAAATAGAAACTGCATGTGTGTCAGAAAAAGTATGCCAAAACATTGTTTTTAGTTTTCTGTTAAATTTAGATATGATTGATATGATTTTTTCTCTCGCTTGTTATTGCAGATATATTGAAGACAGATAAACATGTTAGAGTATGGGACATTGAATATTATATTTGTATATTTTGTTGACAGTAAGTTTGTCAACAACACAAAAAAATCAATCAAACAATGAAAAAGAGAAAAATGGAGAAAAAATAAATAAATAAGAAGAGGAGGGAAAATGAATTTTTTTTAATATTAAAAAATATTTTAACTTTAGAAATAATTTGATTTATTGAAAAAGATGAAGTAAGATATTAAAGGCTTTGGCCTGTTTCACAAAGATTTGTTTCTATCCCTTCTCTCCGTTAACATTATCCATTCGTTTAATATTAAATATCCAGCCACCATATTCAGTTTCTTCCTAAGACATCTCTTTTCCTAGCTGTCCTAAAGTTAAGAATTAATTTGCGAAAATCTGAAGATAAAGACGAGGTTTTTGAGAAACAGATAGGCTAATTAATGAACTAAATGAATTAAAGACGAGGTTTTTGAGAAACAGATAGGCTAATTAATGAACTTAGGAAAATGTTCGTTTCTGAGATATAACTTAAGCCCAAGTTAGCTTTGTGAAATGGGTACCAGCTGGTCTATAGGTAGAGGGGGAGAACTCAAATTTATACACTGTAAAAATGGAACCCGAAGTTCAACTTCAAACTATCATTCCAATTAAACAAGAATTAGGGTCCCGAGAAGTATATATAAAATCTGATGTCTTAATGTCCTATAGAAAAAAAAATGCCCCAATTTTTAAGACACAAATCTTAGCAGAAACAACATTTTGATTTTCTCCTCAATCAAAGCATTGACGCTGAAAAAAAAAATCGATAAAAAATCTCACGTATGATTAGAATTATCTCTCTTGGAAAGAAATGACCATTGCATTATACAAAGGTATTTACACAAAGCAAAAAAAAATTTATTAAATCAGTCTTCATAACTGCAAGAGCAAGTAATGTAATCGTCAACACAGGTGCAATTCTGGCTAATTCTGTTAATATAAATTCTTTATTCAAAAACGAAAGTACTCCAGGAGATGCACCTTCTTTGTTGTTGCATAAAATCTAATTGGTAGCTTCTTTTGTCGCTAAAGTTAAAAATAGTAGTCTCGTTAAACCAGACGTTCAATCGGCTGACACCGTAAATCTCCGACAAGACGCTCTCGGCTGTCCCGGTGAATCTCTCTCTTACGGAGACAGCCAGGCGTCTGGTAAATCGAAACTATTTAAATAGTGTTGGGCTGCCATTTAAAAAAAGATTGAGCAGGTAAGTACTTCTTACTCTATATTTAATTCGTTTTTACAGTAATAGGACTATGCCTTGTGTATTAAATTCATAATGATTTTCTTTTTATTAAGATTATGAATATAATCATTATTATGCTTATTATTGTTTCCATTATTTATTTTAAAAACCAAATTATAAGGATCAATTTGCAATCTGGAGCATTTAAAAAAAACAAATTTTAAGGACCTATAATTTTTTTTACTCATTGTGTGTATTTTAAATCTCGTCAAAATCAAAGTTTCATTTAGTTTAGATTTCATTTATATTAATGAAATCTAGATTTTAACAAAGTAGAAGATATGACTCGGTGATATAAATAACTAGGGTACATGCAATACTAAAAACAGCAAAGGGGAATTCCAAATTCAGAGTAGGGAATTCACAATGTTTTCGTGTCTACTTGATCTGAAAATTTCATATTGACTCTTTCATACCTAAACGCTGGTTTTTTCTCATTGTGTATTTTTTTCCGAAAACTATTTTACATTTTTCATTTTTTTTGGGGGGGGGGGGGTGGATTATCAGTATTATTGTCTCGATATAGAGCATAGAATGAATTAATAAAGTAATAAATAAACCAGAGAGAAGGTGCTGTTATTATATCAAAACTTTCATGTTGAAGAGGAAAGCACAATTTAAATTCCCCCAATCCCGTTGACAACTTAATTCAATGAGAATACTTAATTCTCATTATGTAGGAACAATGCATAAAACGAATTGACACATTGAGTTTCATTCATGATAAGAATTCAGCTTAATATTTATTCATAATATTATCTCAAAATGAAGTCCACTGATGCAAATAATACCAGAAAAAGTTAATATATTTTGTCCTATTTTGTAAGATAGAAAAAATTCTTTTTTATTGCTTTCAAGAACATTAATCTAAATAGAAATAATTTTCAATTTAACCCTGATCATGTATATACAATGTATTATTAGGTATTTATATGGCTGGCACTTCTGGACCGGAAATGCCGGAGGACAAGGCAGATGAAGACGAGGCTGTGACCCAGTTTCTGATGAGTATTGGCCTTGACTGCCTCACAGAACTGTTCTCCAAACAAAAGATTACCATGGATATTTTAAAGGAGATGACTTCAGAGAATTTGAAGGAGGCTGGAGTACAGGAGTATGGTTACAGACACAAGATTATTAAAGAACTTAACAAAAGAAAAGGTATGTAAACATGCATTTAAGAAATAATTAATGGATCATTTCTAAGTTATTATCGGATATAGTAGTAAACACGGGTTAATCCATGTGATCAAATCTTATACAGCCAAAATGGCTTTAATTCAGATTCAATCAGTTAACAAATATTTGAGTAATATATTTTCAAACCCACGGCGATTTTTTTCGAATCTCAATGATAAGATGTGACTTTGTTAATCACGTTTACCACTAATGGTGTGAAAATATTTTGATCTATTATGACCTAATAATGAATTAATGGCCACATGAAAAATCCGTTTATTATACAAGTTTTACATTGTTTAATATATAAACGGAAACGTTTGTAAATGTTAATATTTCAGAACAATGATCACATGAATGATAATAATAATGATAATGTTTTAGGGACTTCGGCGTCTGTTCAAAGGTCAATATATCAACGAAAAAGAAAGGCAATCTTTGAACAGCATAATATGATACCCAGCAAGAAACACTGCAAACTTGGTAATAGTTTTTTTATTGATCTAAGAATGGCCCAAGGCTTTAAAATCTCGATCGTTTTTGTGCCTCTGTCTATTTATCTGCAAACAGATACATAGATTTATTTCATTAAAAGTCAGGCCAGTTTCTATGCATGATCCTGTTACAAAGTAATTTAATGTGAAAGGACACGAGTTTGATCAAATTTAAATTTAAGCAATTTCAGCTTAAGGTTATCCGATCCTCAGGTTCTGAAAATCAGGCATTGAGTAGTTGAAAATGCTCACAAGGATGTCTCTAAATGCTCAAATTAAAATGTACTCAAATTCTTTAAAATTCATCTTCAAATTTAATCATATTATATAGGGAAAATTGGTAAATCTCGAATAATTTTTCAGGCAATGCGATTTGAACTACCTACTGCATATTTTCTAATTGATAATTGATCAAGAAATACACTTAAGGAATAAAAATCATAGGCATCCGGGCTTTTAAAGAAAATTGCATGCATTTTCAATTATTTGGACTTTACTCTCTCCTACTTACTTCCATTGTTTCAGAATGCATAGAGTATGAAGTGTTTCCTTTCAAAGAAAACACTGCAAATCACATCTAATTTCACATAATGCATATAAACATTGGTAACTAAGGCTAAATTAAAAGAAATTTGATTTTTTTTAAATATGCAAGTTCTACTTCATTTTATGAGGTACAAATGTTAACCTTTTTAAATAACGTTTGTTAAAACTTTAAAGAGCATTGAATCATGCGTAGAGGCATAAAATGAAATTTGTTGCATGAAAAAAATTCAATTTCAAGCCTTATTTTAATACTTATTGCATTAAATTATAAATTAAAGAGTTATCCTTCCTGGCTGAGGATCGTATATCCTTAACACATTTAGATTGTGAATGTAGAGATGGGTCACATATTTAAATGAGGTATTTCTGCAGATATTCTTTCAGAGTAATTTAACTTTCAGATATGCTTATGCCCCTCACAATTTATTTTTTCCCCTTTATAATATGAATACTTTGGTAGGAAAGTATTTTCCATTTAAGCAGTTTTGTCAATGAATTTGTTGTTTGCCTTGAAATTATGCCCTTCAAACCTTTTTGAATATATGTATTTCGTCCGCTCAATAATTGCTGCTCAATGTTTGAAAAAAATATACACATTCAGTCCAGCTTTCTTATATGTTGACTGTAAGCAAAATCATTTTTCACATACATGCATGCTCAGACTAGTATTTTTCTGTTAAGTTGATGAACTTGATATATCAATAGATGATTAGAACATAAAAAGAGAGTTTTTTAAAATGATACTTGTATACATGTATATGACTTTATTAATTTATTTAGTATATTAATTTATTAATTTGCCTATACAGGGAACACTTTTTATCAAAAAACTGCGCCGTACCCGAAGAGAAAATCCGTGAAACCAGGAACACAAATACCACAAATCCATCAGACGGCAGCTTCGACACAGACATCCTTTCCTTCATCTCAAAATAATTTGTCAAGTACGAGGAATTCAAATAATCATGGGTTGATGCAAACCATGGCTACTCAAAACATCCCACAAACAGTTTCTTCCAACAGTTTGAGTAATACTAATTCAATATTTCCTGCCACTAGTAATAGTCAAATTGCTACAAGAAGTACCAACCAATCGATGCTGGTAAATATCCAACCAATATCAGCAGGTAATAGCCAAGGCACGAGTCAGTCAATTACATTACCCAACCAGTCCTCTGTCAGTCCATCAGCCACAACTTGTATCACTACCTCATCCTCCTCCTCAACATCGACTTGTTCAAGTTGTACAACAATGTCTTCATCTCCATGTGCTTCACACTTAACCCTTACATGTAAGTAATAAAACAACTGTTCGGTTAATCATACAGTCAAAATTTCAGACCAATGTGAACCAAACACGCCACAAAACATGAAGATAAAGATCGACAGGAGGTGCTCACTTATCCAAAACACCTTTTCCTACCTTTGATTTTAGAGGTTTAGGTTCGTTCTGCTTACAGTTTGTATTGTTTGTATGATTGTCTTTCGTTATCTTCACATTTTTGGAACAGATGACAATGATGACGCCATTACAGAGGACGAAAATAGGTTCTTGAGGTTTTTATTGTTGGCACAACTGGGTACTGAAGCTATGAGGATGGCATTTGACAATACTGTTCCACCACCCCACCTGGCTTCTCATCTACAGACTCATATACGCAAACTAAAGGAGAGATGTACTTCACAGCAGATGAAGGTCCTTTTCCCAAGTAAGGAATATAAAATTCAATTGAAATTTCCCAAATTTATTAGATAAGAATGTCATAATTTGCTTTTTTAAAGGACAGATTTAATGCAAAAACATGTATACTAATAATAAGCTTCTTTTTTCTGATCTGAGGACAGATTTTATGCAAATATACTCCGTAATAAGATTGATTGATTGTATATTGTTTAACGTCCCTCTCGAGAATTTTTCACTCATATAGAGACGCCACCACTTGCCGGTGGAGGGCTACAAATTTTGTCCTATGCTCGGCACTCAGGGCCTTTGAGCAGTGAGGGATCTTTTTCGTGCCAACACCTACTGCGACACGGGGCCTCGGTTTATACGGTCTCATCCGAAGGACCGGTCTCCACGTCCCGCAGTGGGATTTGAACCCGCGACGTAAGGATTGACTCCTTACTTCGCGACTCTAGAGCAGACGCTCTAACCACTGCGCCACACGGGCTCCGTAATAAGATATAAAGTTTAAAAAAATTTTATTTATAAATGTTTACTCAACAGAGCATTAATATTTCATTTCAGCCTATCTGGTATCGACGACAAACTTCGATACAACTTTGCTCTACACTCTTTTCCGTAATACAGTGAGTGTTAAGGCGCCCTCTAACGGTTGGGGAAAAGATCCTCGCCCTCACAGCACCTCTCTTACTGATGATATAGAGCGAGTAAGGATACACAGAAACTCCATCTGTCATGGGAAGACTTCAATGGATCAACTGACTTTCCAAAGGAAATGGTTTGATTTATCAGAGGTGAACGTTTAATTTATCTTCGACCTTATAAAGATAACCTTATGCAGTTTTCCTACAAGCCACGTGTTATATAAAATCCGTTGAATAAATCATTTTCTCAGTCAAGTAAATGTCACAAAAATTCAATACCATTTAACAGAAACATAGACGTATCTACTGTTTTCATGTACATGTATTATAAATTTGATAAAATACTTCTACATTATCTGGTGATCACTTGAAAATTGATTATTTTCTTTGACAATTTTTAGGCAATTTCTCGTTTGAGTAATGGAAAATTGAAAAAAGAAACTTCTTCTTTGGAGACGAGAAATTTTGATAAGAAAGCTAGGAAGAGTATCATGGATGACTTTGATCTCCTACAAAATAGAGTCTCAGAGTTAGAGCAGACTCATATACCAGCGCACATAAAAGGTACGTTCTCTTTCGTAAAATAAAAATACAGTCACAAAATTATTCAAGGTGGGAAATTAAGAAACCAGACCACATGGGGATAAATAGTAAACACTTTGTTATGATCCTTTTAGATAATGTTATATTTAAAAAAAAAAAGGATGCATCTGGAACATAAGTTGGGATCGAGGATTTGGAATGAAAACAATATTTTGAATATTTTCCTATTCTTTTTTTTTTTTTTTTTTTTTTTTTTATTTACAGATTCTAATACATACTTATACAATACAAATATACATTTTCTGTAAATTTTTTATAAGAGAGAGAGAGAGAGAGAGAGAGAGAGAGAGAGAGAGAGAGAGAGAGAGAGAGAGAGAGAGTAGAGCAAGAGAGAGAGGAGGGCGAGAAGGGATAGTAAGAAAAAAATTACAAAAACAGATTCTTCCAGGGTTTCCAGGCTTCGTCAAAAGTCAACTGATTATTGTTTTTATATGCAATATACTTGTTTATTTCATACATATATTTGATGGAGGATATCAGTCCATTCAAGGAGAGGTATTTACCACTACATCTCATTCTGTAGATAAAATATTTAATCTGAAGAGCAATGAGATATTTTATTTTGTCTAATTTTGCAAAAGATCCCAATATGAATTCTTTTTTCAAATATACAACATTAATATGAATCTTTCTAAAGCAATAACTATCAAAACTATTCAATAAGTCTTGTACTACTTCACATTCCCAGAAGATGTGTTCAATAGTTTCTGTCTCAGTTTCACAAAAAGAACACTTGTATGAATCTATTTTCTTAATTTTATGTAAAAAGGAATTTGTTGCTAATATTTTATGATTAATGCGGAACTGAAACCACTGAAGTTTTGTATCTTTTGTGAGCTTAAAAGGAAATGAAAAAACTTTTTCCCATTCACTATCATTCAAGTTAAAAATTCTATTCCAGCTAGTCTGACCTAAAGGCTTGATATCATTGCTTTTCAAAATTTCATATAAATTTCTTGATTTCTTCGCATTTAATAAACGGAATGTTTTTTGTGTAATATATGGCATATAAACAGTTGGCATAGAAATAATATTTTTGATTTTCATCCATTCTCTAATAGCAGCTATAAGTCCATTGTACTCAAGAAAGTTTGTATGGATTCCATATTTCAATTTAAACATATTTACATCCATAAAGGAACCGTCCTCTCTTAAGAGATCATTTACGAAAAATATATTATTTTCAAACCATTTCTTATAAAAAATTGGGTTTTTTTTTACCATTCAGAATATTTTTATTAAAAAATAGTGGTTCCATGGAGGCACTTGCTTCTAGTTCTGGTAATTTAAAAAAAAAATAGCCAGGCTTCTAAAACTTTTTTCCAAAACATATTTTTTACATCTTTAATTTTCTTGAGAATGTATTCTTCTCCACAAAAAACTGTTTTTTTTAAATCTAAAGTTAGATATGAATATTTACCTTGCAGTATGACATTTTTCATCCATACAAGTTTCAGAGACATAATAAACTCTTTAATACTAATCATCTTGAAACCGCCATCTTTAAGATCTTTAATACAAACTCCTTTTTTTAGTCTAAAATCTTTAATTTTCTTGAGAATGTATTCTTCTCCACAAAAAACTGTTTTTTTTAAATCTAAAGTTAGATATGAATATTTACCTTGCAGTATGACATTTTTCAATACAAGTTTCAGAGACATAATAAACTCTTTAATACTAATCATCTTGAAACCGCCATCTTTAAGATCTTTAATACAAACTCCTTTTTTTAGTCTAAAAGCATTACTCCCCATTACAAAAGAATAAAAGGTGTTTTCTAAATCTTTTATATATAAATCAGTGGGATTTGGAAGGGAGGCAAAAATATGATTCAATGTTGGCAATAAAAGTGTTTTCAAAACTGTTAATCGTCCTAGTGGTGTGAGATTCCTATGTTTCCAATGTCTTATCATTTTCTTTATGTTTTCTAACTTTGAACTGAGATTCCTCGAAAGTATCTTCTGCAAATCTATATCAAATTCAATACCAAGTAACCTAAAGTTTTTCTTTCCCCACTCAAGAGATTGATTTTTACATAAAACCTCATCACTACCTTTTTTGCTACCTATCCATATTACTTGTGTTTTATCGTAATTTATATGTAAGCCGGACATTTTTGCAAAATCTCTAAGGGTACCTAAACTTGATTGTAAAGATTTCTCACTGCCATCTAATATAAGAGAAGTGTCATCAGCGAGCATCGAGATTTTCTTTTCCCCATCAATAAAATATATACCTTTGATGTCTTTGTTGTTTCTTATCTTAATAGCAAGGATTTCAGCACATATCAAGAATAAGTATGGGGATAGTGGGTCTCCCTGTCGACACCCTCGATGCAAAGAGAATGTTTCAGATAAATTTCCTCCCTGATTTACTGCTGATGTAATGTTTGAATAAAATAAACTGACCCATTTCCTCATAGACTTTCCAAAATTAAAGAATTTAAGTGATTTTTGAATAAAAGCCCAAGAGACAGAATCAAATGCTTTTTCAAAGTCAACAAGAAGAAGAAGACCTGGTATTTTTTCTTCTTCTGTGTATTGCATAATGTCATAGATTAGTCTAATGTTTTCAGCTATATGCCTGCCCTGTATAAAGCCTGTTTGATCAGGATGTATAATTTTATCTAGAAACCTTCTAATTCTATTTGCTATTGAACCAGATGCAATTTTATAAACTGTGTTTAAAAGAGAGATAGGTCTCCAATTTTTTAACAAGTGTTTAGGTTTGTCACCCTTCGGTAAGCAGGTAATGATTCCATGTCTCTGAGTTACACTTAAGATATCATGATCATATGCATAATTAATTGATCGGACAACAAAAATGCCTATAAATTTCCAAAAGACCTTAAAAAATTCTGAGGTAAAGCCATCTGAGCCAGGTGATTTATTTGATTTCATCCTAAAAAGTGTTTCCCCTGCCTCCTTCATTGTAATTTGACCTTCTAATGACCTTGACTCTTCATTGGAAAGCTTTTCAATATCTGAAAAATTCATTTCCTCCTGAAGGTTAACATTTTCAATGACATCATCTACATTTCTATATAAATTTTCATAATATTGTTTGGTTGTTTTTAAGATATCTGACTGATTATAAACTGTCTCTCCATTTTCTAATTTAATTTTTGGAATAATTTTACTTATGAAATTTCTTGACTCGAGATTACAGAAATATTTTGTCGGTTTCTCCCCTTCTTCTATCCATCTTGCCCTTGACCTTATATATACACCAGCCATTTTTTCTTTTCTAATATCTTCCAACTCTTTCTTTTTTTCTTCAAGAGTTTCATTATTGCTTGTAGACCCCTGTGCCAATTCCTCCAGGGAACTTATTTCTTTTATAAGTTTTTCTTCTTTAAAAATTCTGGATTTTTTTTTAAAAGACGAATATGAAATACATTTCCCTCTAATTTCCATAAGAAGTGTTTCTAAAAATAACTGGTCATTGACTAAAAATACAATATTTTCATCTTCAATAGATTGCAAGTTATCTATATTGTATACTGGAACTGCATACTGCTCTTTAACCCTTTGTATCACCCCCTTAATTGAGTTTAAAAATTCTTCATCATATAAAAGAGAATTATTAAATTTCCATAATCCTTTGCCTTTCTTAAAATCATTGAACTTTAAACATAAAGTAATAATCGAGTGGTCGGACCTATAGCTAGGTTCTATAGAACTTGTTGTAACACTTGACAGTAAGTTCTCCGATACAAGAAAAAAATCTAATCTACTTTGCTTAATGGGACTTTTTTTTCTCCAAGTATATCTCAAAGCATCTGGATTATTTTGTCTATAAATATCAACTAAGTTGTTATCTTCCATAAGCTCTATAACCCTCTGTCTTGCATTAGGGTTATTTATATGTTTATAATTATAGTAGTCTAATTCAGGATTTAAAACAAGGTTAAAGTCACCACATAATATAACATTTTCACAATTAAAATCATTAATGTACTCATGTAATCTTTCATAAAAATCAGGGTTATCATTGTTTGGTCCATATATACAACATAAGAGAAACCTTTTTTCATCAGCAGTAAAATCTAAAAGAAGAAAATTACCATCCACGTCTCCTTTTTCCTTAGACATTTTAACCTCAAAATTATTATTGAATAGAATTGCTATACCTCTTGCATTTGATGAAAAAGAACTAAAGTAACAGTCAAAACCCCACATGCTTCTGATTTCATTTTCTATTTCAGTTGTAAAATGAGTGTCCTGAAGGCAGTAAATATTATAATTCATTCCTCTAAGATAATTAAAAACATCTCTTCGTTTGCTGATATCCCCCAATCCTTGACAATTAGCTGATAATATTTTCAAAGACATGATGGATAATTAAGAAATTTACCTCTGACGGAACCTGGAGCTTCTGTACGAATCTTGAATAAACACAGAATTGAGTTGTAAAGAGAAAGATAGAGTAGAAAGGAAAGAAGTAACAGAACAGGAAAAAGTTTGTAAAAAGCATTCAAACAGTTCAAAAATTGGCTAGCTCGAAAATTGTCAATGGGCCATATTCGCGTACAGGCAAAAAAGTCACAACCGGAATTTAATATTTTAAAGTAATAGCAAAAACTTCGACGTCAATGGACCTCAAAGTTCCGGAATAATCACATGGATGGAAATTAAAATTCCGGGTTGTCTAAATAACACTTTACACTATTTGATTTTTTCATCAAGATTGTCCAACAAGTCAAACTTCATTCGTTTATCGTTCACCAGTCCATAAACACTTCCATTAAAGTACCACGCATTGTCTATTTTTGGGTGGTCTTTTAATCGGTTTATGAGGATCCCATTCAGTCTCGTCACATCGTCTGTCAGCCAGATCTTCCCATCTGTATTTTCCTATTCAGTTGAATGGAATGCCTACTTATATTTCAAAACATCTACGTATTACACCTTTAATGGGCTAATATGTTTTTGATCAACAAATATTAATTGATTCGAAAATACATATTTATACTAAAAGATGGATTCTTTCATTCGTTAATATATATTGTTTGTCCAGAATACTTATATTCCCCAAAGTTTTCACTTCTATAAAAAATAAAAAAAGAGGGAGCTGGGTTGAAATTATTTTTTTTTCAATTTTATGTCGACGAGTGACAACTCCATGTTCAAACATTTATCAATATACAATATCTTAAACTTTGTGTTTGCAGAAAAGAAGAAGTCACATCAGTTTGATTTCAAATTAAAAATATCTATGTGAAGAAGAATCAAAATTTTACCACGATATTTATATATTCAACGTGAAAGTATCCATTTTAATATTTAATTTTTTCACAGTGAATTATCAAATATACACGAAAAAGAATGAATATATAGCAACCACAAGTCAAATTTTAAATTTAGTATATACCACTTGTGTTATATATCAAATCAAAGCTTATAAAAAATTGTTTAAGAAAAATATAATTTTGAAATTTTCTGGTCAAGCATTGTTACTAAAAATAGATTGCGAAATGTAAAGGTATTGTTCTAGTGTGTGACCACTTTTCTGAAGAAAATACCTAGTAGCATTGAGGTCAAAACTTAAGGTAATGTATTCAAAATATAATCTCTCTCTTCTTATTTCCTTTGCCCAGAATCCGAGTTATTAAAGTTCAATTGCATCAAACACCTAGATTGACTTGAATCATTAGATAGTGAGAGTCGTCTTCCAGTATAATTAATTGGGTTACATGGGACACGCAACGTTACGTTGACGTTATGCTTATAAAAAGACGTCAACAAATCCAATCAATAAAAATGATCACAAATTAATTTAAAACAAGATTTGTTTGTAAAACACTATACACCCGGCAACGACAAAATAAAAAAAAACTTTTTGGCACATATGTCACAGTCAAGGTCACAAGGCAATTGACCTTGGTGTCATTTGAGAGAACATGATTAGTAAAATATGGATACCAAAAATGAAGTATCTGTTTCTTGCGCTTCAAAAGTTATTGCAAAGGTTAACTAAAAACGAAAAAAACTATTTTTAACATACAGGTCACAGTCAAGGTCACTGGGTTTTTGTCTTTAATTACTAGACTGTATTTATCCTTTTGTAAAATTAATCTTTGTGTTGGGCACAATGCTTGCAATTACAAAATTCCGTGGCGGATCAAAGGGGGTCGTATCCGCCCCCTAAAATTGTCAAAGTTAGCGTAAATCATAGTTTCGTCGAGAAAATATAAAAATGTCTACTCGGTTAACCTCAATTTTTCCTACAAAATCTCTAGAATTCAGCTTAAACCAGATTACCCCTGCCGATTATGGGCGCCCCCTCTAACTTTAATTCCTGGATCCGCGCATGGGATTTATAGAGAGTTGGAGTGATAAATACTTATCATATAAGGAATCTAAAAATCATGAATTTTTTATATAAATTATCAAAAACAAAAAATTTGTATTTTAAATTCTTCATACGAATACATTTAATATGATGCGGAGAATTGGTAATGAACTGGTATTAACTGGGAGCGTGATGTAAATCTTAAATTATTCCGATATGTAAGTGGAGACTAATAATCTGAATAACTAAAAAAAACTAGAAGAATATAAGTCATAGATATGACCGCAGCATATGATAAATTCTGAAGAAAAGGAGGGGGAATTTAATTTAAAATTCCTTTGAACATTTAGTTAAACATGTAGATCATTCCTAATGTGTGTTAAAGGTTGTCCGAATTTTTTGTGAATTATTAAAGCTCTCTCTCTCTCTCTCTCTGATGTAAAACATTTGATTTGCCCCGCTTTTGAGAAAGCGATCGAGGTTTCTTCAAATCTTATTCGTCTGTCTGTTTGTCAGTCAGACTGTAAATCTGTTTGTATGTAACAAAAATTCAACCTTGGTCATCTCTTTAGAATTGGAACAGAGAAGAGATAGAATTGTATATTATTCATGTGTTTAAACTGTGACAAGACCTTTCTAAATACACTACAAGAAACCTATATATTGTCGCAAGCGTCAAAAATCGGCCGCAAACCCAATTAATTGTTCCTTTGATATAGTAATAAGAAACTGAAATTTGCATGATCTGTTTTTAAAATTCCTTACATTTATCTATTAAAATATCCTCCTGACATAAAACACGTGCATGCGACATTGCCGATTTTCCTTGAACCTTGACGTTTGACATACTTTTCAAAAATGCAATTTTCCCCTTATAACTTCTGATTGAGATTTATATAATGCTTTCATATTTAACATGTTCATTGATGTGATTTCTGACCCCCTTGATCTGGACCTGTATGTTTGACCTAATTTTCAAAAAATCAACTTAAGTTATAACATTTGGATGACATATTATAGGGCGTTCATATTTGGAACAATATGCCATAAATAATGTAATATTACCCACATAGAGACAAACAGCCGGTAAAACAAATTAAAGATTTTGTCTATACACGTACATGTATAGTACATCGGTACATGCAGCACTTTCATCCCCATGTATGTTCATTAAATTAGATGTCAATGTCTAAGACATTTGATATACACTTTAAATTTTTTTTCATCACGTAAATATTATAGGGCGTTCATATTTGGAACAATATGCCATAAATAATGTAATATTACCCACATAGAGACAAACAGCCGGTAAAACAAATTAAAGATTTTGTCTTTACACGTACATGTTTTATAGTACATCGGTACATGCAGCACTTTCATCCCCATGTATGTTCATTAAATTAGATGTCAATGTCTAAGACATTTGATATACACTTTAAATTATTTTTCATCACGTAAATGAAATTTTTCATGAGTGAATTCTTCAATACTGTTTTAATAACCAAAAAGTACAATCTGAAAAGAGTCAGAAATGAAAATTTTAAAATATCAGAAATGAAAACTAAAACATGTCGGCCATGAAAAGTTGAAATATCGAAAAATTTCCAATCGGCAATCCTCGGCTGACTCCGCTAGGTTCCATTCAAACCTCCGAGGTGCGATATATGAGCCGCCCGAGATGCTCCAAGTGAAAAATACCAGAAATGAAATGCAGCTGGGGGACCACAATTTTAATTTCTTTTTTTAAATTTTAGACCTCTTTGATGCATCAGTAATATTATTTTGCCTATTTGATTATTACAATTCATCCATCTACCTATCCATATGTTCATATTCTACATAGGCATCGAAACCGGGGGGTGGGGGTGGTAAGGGGGGGGGTATAGGGGTCTCAACTTCCCCCCCCTTTTTTTCAAAGATAGATATTTTTTAGGCATTGAAAATTGTGGTTTACCTTTTTTGTTGGTTTAGCCGCCCCCCCCCCCCCCCACCTTCAATCAGCCACCCCACTTTCAATTTGCGACGTTTATGCCCTAACATGCATGTAATTTATTGTTAGTGTTGTAATCAAAAATACTTAGAAATTTTAGAAATAGTATTTACCAGTCAAATATAATCTAAGTAAAATAATAAAATCTACACAACGTATTAGATTAAATGCATATGATCTATATCCATGGAAAACGAATCTAGAATATTTGTAGGCCTTATTGTCTCTTGAAAAAAATGAGCACCTGGCAAATACTATTTTTACATTTGTGTTGTATATAAAAATAATAAAAAACATATATATTAAGTTTCAATAAAATGCCAATGTAAGGATATAAACTGTATATCAATGGGAAAAAAAATCATATGAGACAAGCTGAATGAACATTATAAAAGAAGATATCCCACGTACCAAAAGTACAAAATTTTCTGTGACATGAATTTTGTAAACACGTTCTTCTGGAATTTAGCATATCATACAATAAACTTATTTATTCATGAACTCAATTGAATTTATTTACATTTCTTTTAATAAAAAAAATCAGAAGGCTATTGTATTTTTTTCTTTACACTAGATACTTATTTTCTTACATATTTATTTTTATTTCTTACTCATGATTTTAATTTTTTATTGCTTCAAAATTATAACGTCAATTTTACTTTATAGAAGTTTTCTTTTTCAGTCCTAATCATCGTTCCTTGTTTTATATTTTTGACATGTTTAATTAGTATTTTTCTTAGATAAAAAATTATTATATTTAAAATTACCCCTTCGGGTACCCCATTAAAAAGACATCGAGAGTTATCCCCCTCTGAATATTTCTATAGTTACAGTAAACAAACTACATTACAAAACAATTTCCAGGAATCGTGGAGGGCGTGAAAATGACGTCAAATATCATTCGCGCTGGCTATATGTTGTGTTGTTATTTGAAAGATCGCTTCTTAGCGCCGATGCAAGGAAAATAAATCTACACAGTTTCTTAAAGAGGAGAATATTCTCTTTCGATCTATTATTGTAACACATATGCAACCGGTTCGTCAAACGAGTGAAAAAACTCTCCGAAAAATGCTTACATTTGACTTTCCATAATCATAGCAATATACATATCTGGCTAGTCGTGTTTGGTATCATTATATTCAGAATAATCAACTGTATCTACCATTGTACAAAGAAATCCGAATATATCCTCTGTTGTCCTATAAACAGCGAAATAAAAGAATGCGGTTTTTATGACGCGCTAAAATCGTGACGTTTTATTTCAGAACATGCTTGAACATTTTATAGGAATTAAAACAAAAAACAGCGATAAAAAATTATAAAATTATAATTTTTAGATTGTTTAACAATTTATCTTTACAGTTCAATTAATTTTTTTGAAGTTAGAGACACGAAAGTATGTTAAATACGCTTTTTAAAACTGGTAGTTTTGTATACTGTCACATAGCGCAACGTAAAATGACTTGTGGTTGCTAGAATATATTTAAACATATTAAACCTTCTGAAAATGTGTAAATATTTCTTTTTCGTAACTTTTATTTAGAACGTCAAACTGAGGAGATAAAAGTGTGGGAGGAAGATGATGAAGTGTTCTGTGAGACTCGTGCCTTTAATGAGTTTGAAGAGATGATGAATATTCATAATATAGTCACCATTATAGGAGGACCAGGTACAGGAAAAACAGCAAAGGCACGCCATCTAGCGATCAAATACAAAAGCGAGGGATGGGAGATCATCCCGGTCATTTGTTTAGAGGATATCAAAAACTTTGGACATTTCAGTGTTAAACAGCTTTTTTTGTATGATGATCCAGCTGGTGTGTTTGGGTTTGATAGGTCAAGATACAATTCCTTAGTAGATTTTACAAAAATCATTAAGTCCTTATCAGAAAAATAAGCAAAATTCATTTTCACTTGCAGAAAAGCAGTGTTTAATGAAGGTAGAAAATTAGACCTGTATATTTTTCAAAATACGATTGATATCGAGAGCAAAGGAATGTCCCTTACAACAAATGATATGAAGAAAATGCTCACAATTCATTGTGAGAAAAGCAGAGTTGAAAAGTCTGTTTATCAATGCTTGTCATTTAAATCAGGATTTTTGATGTTTCCTTTGCTTTGCAAACTGTTTTCGAAAGAAGTCCAATATCAAAAAGATGGAGGACGATTTTTTGAAATGCCTAAGCAGTGTTTGGTTGCAGAGTTTGAGAAAATGAAGCTTCTAAATAAGACTCACTACGCTTCGTTAGCTCTTTGTGTGTTATCTCAGAACAAGCTTAACATACATGATTGGAAAGATACTGAAACATTAAATCTTATGGTCAAACAATTTAGGATAGAGGGATCCTTGTCTGAATTGCAAGTATGCGATGCTTTAAACGAAATGAATGGGACATATGTCATCAAAATTGATGAAATGTACTCTTTTGTTCATGACGCCATATTTGAAGTAATGGCATATATGTACGGGAGAGAATTTCCCGAAATGGTCATATCTAAGATGAATAGTGGATATATTTCTAGATGTGTGAGGCTGAAACCCGATGCACAATCAAATCTTAATTCATTTGTTATCATTCCAGAACAAAAATACCCTGTTCTTGCTAAAAGACTTTATGATGACATCAAGGATAAGCAATTTTATGATGTCTTCCAAAATAAATGTTTGAAAGAGCAATCTTTTTTACATGTCTTCATCAAATATCTGAATACAAAGTCAAACGACGATTTATATGAAAATTTTCTAAATAATATTGATTATGTCCCTCATCTCATCGCCACAGAATTTATTGATAAAATTGAGGAAGGACGAAAATACATTTTTGAAAGACTAATTGTCGGTGAAACATATGCACAGGTGATGACGGATTCCTTTATGGCTGAAGATGAAGAAATGCCTGAAAATATAACAACATTTAAAACGAAATATCAGATCCGGGCCCTTAACTGGGTAGTTGCTTACGGTCACGATGTTCTTTTTGAATTTCTTATGGATAGGATCTCTCTTAATGAGATAGCTAGGAAGGAAATGTCTTTGTTTTCCTCATATGAACAATCTCATCTTCTTGTTTTGAGTACTTTTAGTGCAGATTCACAAATTACAAAAAAACTAATTGGATACTTAGATTCCAACTGTATTGACCAAAGTCCTAGTGGTAAATTTGACCCTTTAAATATCCACATGTGTTATACACCTCTTACCGCCGCATGCGTAGGAGACAATTCTGAAACAATAGATGTCTTGCTTGATGCTGGGGCAGATATCAATAAACGTGATGACATGCCTGAGGGAGATACGCCGCTTACTTATGTTGCTAAACATGGAAATATAAAGATTGTTGAACATTTGATCATGAGGAATGCTAATATCGACAAGGTTAATGGTTGCAATAAATCACCCTTATATTGCGCGTCTTATTTTGGTCATGTCAGCACAGTTCGATACCTGGTTGCAAACAAGGCTAACGTTAATATATGTGATGCTTACAATCAGTCTCCCTTATTTGTTGCTGCCGAAAAGGGTTTCATCGAAATAGTAGACATCCTAGTGCAAAATGGAGCAGATGTTACTATTTGCGAAAATAATGAAAATAAAACAGCATTATATCAGTCTATCAGTAAAAATCACTTAGACATTTCAATGTTGCTTCTAAAATCGAGTGTTTATGACACATTACTGAATTCAAATACCATTGATTTGATATTAAGAGAAGGAGTAGATCTCAACGTTCTTGACAATGAGGGTAGAACAATGCTACAATGGGCTATAAAGAAAAAAGATATTGTAATTTGTAAGAACTTAATTGAACATGGAGCCAAAGTGGAAAGTCTCTTGGAAAATGAAATACATTCCCTTTGGTCACACGTCTTAATGTCTCACAATTTTGATGACTTGAAGTTTGTCGTGAAAAAGTTTGGTCAGCCCATGCGCTCTGATATTCCTTGGAAAGAATTTCATTTATCGAAAGCTTCAGCTGAAAATAATTTTGAAGTAGTTAGCGTTCTGCTAAACCTTAATTTCAGTTCTCCTTACGAAGGTCAGATATTGCAGGAACTCTTTACAATTGCAATACACAGAGGAAACATAGAATTTGTGAAAAAAGCTTTGGCAAGCCAGGTAGAAATTGTTAACAAATGCGAACCATCACTTTCCTTATTTGGTCCAAAGAATACAACACCATTGAATATAGCCATACAACATGGACACACTGATATTGTTAAATATTTGGTGGAAAATGGATCATATGTAAATATGCCCGATCAAACAAACAAACCATCATTTTACAGAACATTTGAGTGTAGAGAAAATGAAACTGTTGAAAAAATGGCGCAAAATAAAGTCAACATTAGTTTTCCTAAGGGATTTGAGGACGAAATGCCTTTACATTTTGCAATAAAAAACGGACACACAGAAATTGTCAAATATTTAGTTGAAAGAGGATCAGAGACAAACGCTCTTGATTTCAGAAGAAACACTCCACTTTTTTACGCATTAGAAAACGATAAAATCGAAATTGTTGAATTTCTTGTTGGACATGGGGCTGAAGTAAATGTTCCTGATTTTTTGAATGAGACGCCGTTATGTAAGGCATCAGAAAATGGACAAACTAAAATTGTTGAATTTCTTGTCGGACATGGGGCAGGGGTTAATTTTTTTAATTTTTGGAAAGAGACCCCCTTAAGTAAGGCATCAGAAAACGGGCACACTGAAATTGTTGAATTTCTTGTCGGAAACGGGGGAGAGGTAAATGCTTCTGATTTTAGGAAAGAGACGCCCATATGTAAGGCATCAAAAAACGGGCACACCAACATTTTTAGATATCTAGTCGAACATGGAGCAAATGTGAATATTGATATTTCTGAAGGGAGATCCCTTTTATCTATGGCATCTAAAAACGGGCACACCGAAATTGTTGAATATCTAGTCGGAAATGGAGCAGAGATAAATGTTTTTGACTCTAGAAAAGAGACGCCCTTATACAAGGCATCAGAAAACGGGCACACCAAAATTGTTGAATTTCTTGTCGGACATGGGGCTGAGGTTAATGTTTCTGATATTTGGAAAATTACGCCCTTAATTAAAGCATCAGAAAACGGGCACACTGAAATTGTTGAATATCTTGTTGGACATGGGGCAGAGGTTAATGTTTCTGATTTTTGGAAAAGGTCGCCTTTATTTACGGCATTGGAAAACGGGCACATCAAAATTGTTGAACATCTAGTCGAACATGGGGCAAGGTTAATGGTTCTGATAATTCTGGACAAGGACGCCCTTATGCATGGCATCAGAAAACGGACACATCAATATTGTTGAATATTTAGTCGAACATGGGGCAGAAGTTAATGTTTCTTCCTCTGGGGAAGGGACACCCTTATACAAGGCATCCAAAAACGGGCACAGTGAAATTGTTGAATTTCTTGTCGGACATGGGGCTGCGGTTAATGTTTCTGATTCTTGTAATGAGACGCCCTTATGCAAGGCATCAGAAAACGGGCACACCAAAATTGTTGAGTATCTAGTAGAACATGGGGCACAGGTTAATATTTCTGGTTTTGGGAAAGGGATGTCCTTATGCATGGCATCAGAAAACGGTCACAACAAAATTGTTGAATATCTAGTCGAACATGGGGCAGAGGTTAATGTTTATTATTCTTTGAAAGGGGCACCCTTATACAATGCATCAAAAATAGACACACCAAAATTGTTGAATTTCTTGTCGGACATGGGGCTGAGGTTAATGTTTCTGATTCTTGGAATGAGACGCCCTTATGCAAGGCATCAGAAAACGGGCACATTAAAATTGTTGAATATCTCGTCGGACATGGGGCTGAGGTTAATGTTGGAAATGGACGCCCTTATTCATGGCATCAGAAAACGGTCACACTAAAATTGTTGAATATCTTTTCGAACATGGGGCAGAGGTTAATAGTTCTGGTTCTAGGGAAGGGATGCCCTTATTCATGGCATCAAAAAACGGACACACCAAAATTGTTGAGTATCTAGTCGAACATGGGGCAGAGGTTAATGGTTCTGATTCTAGGGAAGGGACGCCCTTATGCATGGCATCAAAAAACGGACACACCAAAATTGTTGAATATCTTGTCGAACATGGGGCAGAGGTTAATGTTTCTGATTCTGAGGACGGGACGCCCTTATGCATGGCATCAGAAGATGGACACACCGAAATTGTTGAATGTCTAGTTGAACATGGGGCAGAGGTTAATGTTTCTGATTCTTGGAATGAGACGCCCTTATACAAGGCATCCAAAAACGGTCACAACATCTTAGAAATTGTTGAATGGTTCTTCTCGGACATCATGGCATCAGAAAAGGTTAATAATTGTTGATATCTTTGAAATGGGGCAGAGGTTAATGGTTCCTTATACAATGGCATCAAAAAACGGTCACAACAAAATTGTTGAATATCTTGTCGAACATGGGGCAGAGGTTAATGTTTATGATTATTTGAAAAGAACGCCCTTATTCATGGCATCAAAAAACAGTCACAAGAAAATTGTTGAATATCTTGTCGAACATGGGGCAGAGGTTAATGTTTATGATTATTTGGAAAGTACGCCCTTATTAATGGCATCAAAAAACAGTCACAACAAAATTGTTGAATATCTTGTCGAACATGGGGCAGAGGTTAATGGTTCTGGTTCTTGGGAAGGGATGCCCTTATGCATGGCATCAGAAAACGGACACACCAAAATTGTTGAGTATCTAGTCGAACATGGGGCAGAGGTTAATGGTTCTGGTTCTTTGAAAAGAACGCCCTTATGCAAGGCATCAGAAAACGGTCACAACAAAATTGTTGAATATCTTGTCGAACATGGGGCAGAGGTTAATGGTTCTGGTTCTAGGGAAAGGATACCCTTATGCATGGCATCAGAAAACGGACACATCAAAATTGTTGAGTATCTAGTAGAACATGGGGCAGAGGTTAATGGTTCTGATTCTTTGAAAAGAACGCCCTTATGCATGGCATCAAAAAACGGTCACAACAAAATTGTTGAATATCTAGTCGAACATGGGGCAGAGGTCAATGTTTCTGATTCTTGGAAATGGACGCCCTTATGCATGGCATCAGAAAACGGTCACGCCAAAATTGTTGAGTATCTAGTAGAACATGGGGCAGAGGTTAATGTTTCTGATTCTGAGGATGGGACGCCCTTATGCATGGCATCAAAAAACGGTCACATCAAAATTGTTGAGTATCTAGTAGAACATGGGGCAGAGGTTAATGGTTCTGATTCTTTGAAAAGAACGCCCTTATGCATGGCATCAGAAAACGGTCATTACATAATTGTTGAGTATCTAGTCGAACATAGGTTAATGGTTTTTCTTTGAAAAAACACCTTTTGCAACAAAAAACGGTCAAACAAAACATTTCATGGGGCAGAGGTTAATGTTTCTGATTCTTGGAAATGGACGCCCTTATGCATGGCATCAGAAAACGGTCACGCCAAAATTGTTGTGTATCTAGTAGAACATGGGGCAGAGGTTAATGTTTCTGATTCTGAGGATGGGACGCCCTTATGCATGGCATCAGAAAACGGTCACGCCAAAATTGTGAAATATCTAGTCGAACATGGGGCAGAGGTTAATTGTTCTGGTTCTTTGAAAAGAACGCCCTTATTCATGGCATCAGAAAACGGTCACAACAAAATTGTTGAATATCTTATCGAACATGGGGCAAAGGTTAATGTTTGTGATTCTGATTAAGAGACGCCCTTATTTAAGGCATCAGAAAACGGACACACTGAAATTGTTGAATATCTAGTAGAGCATGAGACGGATTTGAAAAATTCTAAAGATTTGAAAAGAACCCCCTTATTTAAGGCATCAGAACAAGATCACAACGAAGTTGTTAGATATCTAGTTGGACATGGGGCAGACGTGAATATTTCTGATAATTAGGAAATGACGCCCTTAAGTAATGCATCAGAAATTGGACATCTCAAAATTGTTGAATATCTGTCAAACACGGGGCAGAGGTAAATGTTTTTGATTCTTTGAAGAAGATGCCTTTATATAAGGCATAAGAAAACGGACGACCCAAATTTCTGAATATCTAGTCGACCATGGGGCAGACGTGAATATTTCTGATTTATTGAGAAAGAAACCTTTAAGTAATGCATCCAAAAATGGGCACACCGAAAATGTTGAATATCTTGTCGAACACGGGGCAGACGTTTATGTTTTTGATTTTTTGAAAACAGAAAACGGAAAACAGACTCAAGTAAATTTTTACTCATTTTTTTTCGGATATAAGACAGTTGCAAGTGTTTATTATTCAATGAAGGAATTGCTACTACCTAAAGCAGTTGAAACAGTCTACACCAAAACTGTCCAGTCGAACATAGGGCAAGAGTAGATGTTTCTGGGGCGAAAATAAGCGATTTTGATTCCAGTGAGGTAGCAACAGAGTCTAAGGCATTAGCATACAGACACAGATCATGGTAAGAAGCACACGGCGGTGTGACCATTTCGTCAGATACATGTATCCTTACTCTTCTTGGCATGTGATCCCGCATCTGATATTTTGGAAGATTCATGCTTGCTCTGCTCCAAATGTATTTTGTTGCAGTGGACTTTTCAGCTTAATAAATGTTTGTTATCCTCATAATTCTACGGTGGCTGGTATAGGACATGGTACGAGATTTTTTTATTATTAATTCGTGGCCATTCGTCGCCACGAAAGCTAATGAAATAAAATTCGTGGCCATTCGTGGCCACGAAATTAAATTCGTGGGAACGAAATAAAAATTCGTGGGAACGAAATAAAAATTCGTGGCCACGAAATAAAATTCGTGGGAACGAAATAAAATTCGTGGCCACGAAATAAAAATTCGTGGCCAGGAAATAAAAATTCGTGGCCACAAAATAAAATTCCTGGCCACGAAATAAATTTTCTGCTATATAATGTCATATTTAGCTTCCTCTCTTGTATGTCATTCAAGATGAACGGACTTATTATTATCATTCAACTGGACTGAGCCAAATAGATTTATGGGTTATGGGTATTGAATAACATGCCTGAATCATCATTTACTATTGAATTTGATTTTTGCATGTAAATTGCATGAAGAACCTGATGTACGAATAAATACATAGGCGTAGTCACAGGGGGGGCAGCGGGGGCACTAGCCCCCCCACTTTCAGATCGGGGGGGGGGGCAAGAGTATGTCTGTGCCCCCCCACTTTTTAATGAAGAACGAAATCACAGCTATTTTTCCCCAACATTACCTTTACTATTGGAAATATTCATTGAATGGACCCCCCCCCCCCACTATTTGACCCTTGTATAGTTAAAGTTATATCGAAGAATTGTGGAAAGAAATTGGATTTGAAAGTAACTTGAAAGTAAGTTGGCCATTAACCCCCCCCCCCCCCCCCCCCCCCACGAAATAGGATTTTCGAGTTTGGGGAACTTTCTGTTTTTTTTTTTTTTTTTTTTTTTTTTGCTTGTCAAAGAAATTCTGGGAGTTGAGCCCCCCCCCCCCCCCCCCCACTTTTATTTTTTTTTTTTTTTTTTTTTTTTTTTTTTTTTTTTTTTGCTTGTCAAAGAATTTCTGGAGTTGAGCCCCCCCACCTTTAAGTTTGTGACTACGCCTCTGAAATAGTATTAATACTGATCTCACTAGTTCATCATTTTCCCCTTAACAATTACATGTACCTTTCTTGAAGTAAACACACTTTCATTTGTATGAAACAGTTGAGTTTTATTTGAAAACAATCATGACAATATATGAATATTGCTCTAATTTTTAAGATGTCACGTTCCCGATAATAGGGACCTATTCTGCCACTAATTGTTGAATAAATAAACATTGAGTGTTTGACTAAACAAGCCTTACAAGTACATTCTATTTATTGAAACATCTAGCAATAAATGTGTGAAATACATTAAAAAATGCACTGGACATAATTTAAGCTATTGTAAATAACATGTATTCTCAGCTTTTTGTCTGCAGATCCGCGCACGCGTCTATGGACACATCTAAATTACGAACCCGATCTGTCAATACACTAGATGCTTTATCTTTTATTTCGTGGCCACGAATTTTATTTCGTTCCCACGAATTTTATTTTGTTACCACGAATTTTATTTCGTGGCCACGAATTTTTATTTCGTTCCCACGAATTTTTATTTCGTTCCCACGAATTTAATTTCGTGGCCTCGAATTTTATTTCGTTCCCACGAATTTTTATTTCGTTCCAACGAATTTTTATTTCGTTCCAACGAATTTTATTTCGTGGCCACGAATTGATAAAAAAAAATTCTTATACCATGTCCTATACCAGCCACCGTATGATTCCATATCTACATTTGCTGTGAATTTCTAGAAAGCCAACAGTGAAATTGATTTGAAAACCATTTTTGTGTAAACTCACAAGTAGAAATATACACGGAGAAACATGCGCTTACGTGACGTCACAATGAGGCTACAGCGACGTCAGTAAAAGTATAACGATATGGGACAGCGAGAAACTCGAATATTGAGTATAACTTTGGTGCTTCCAAATTTGTAAAATATAAATATTAGGAATCTTTTTTTAAAAGTATAGTGTGAATTATTGGTGTGAGAATCGCACAGACTTGTCACGACGGCATATTTCATGAAGCGCTAGCGCGCTTCATGTAATATGCCTACGTGATAAGTCTGTGTGATTTACACACCAAATACTCACTCAAAACTTTAAAATATTCCTTAATTGATTTATTGATAATGCATTAACTTTCTGAGTAGTGACACAGCGCACAATGGCGTAAAGCAGTTTTTTTTTATAGAGATGATATCATTTATTATTTAGCTGAGTATGTAACAAATGTATATAAGTGAAGCAGACTTAAAATATTGTGCAAGTATTGTATAAATTTTGTCGAGATGCAAATATTAGTGATTTGTCCTTAAATATTTTGAGTGATAAGCATTTTAACGATTTTATATCATAAGCTGAAATGATAGATCTTACCTTCCATACTGAATGAATTTTTATTTTATTAGTGATACTAATTTTAGCAATATATCACTTCAATAATAATGACAAATATGTAGGCACTAACAACCATCAATGAAAATTAACTGATTTATAACTTCGTAGCTGTCTATTATCAGCAATCATAAAAACCTTGGAAGATTGTTGAACAAAAATTAGAGAAGATATTTAGAAACAAGAAGAAAGATTTTTTTTATCTGGTCCTTCAGGAAAATTTATGGCTAATCTTTTAACAAGCAATTAAACATTTTTTTCCGTATATTGACGAGTCATTTTGATTGTAAATTAAGAATGATACTTCTTGAAAAAAGATCGTATATTTATCCTTTGATTTGAACATGATTTATAAATATGAGTCATTGGTTGTGGACCCAAGATAGAATAGCTGAGGTAGTCCTAGATTAAGGACACAACATCTTTATTGTTAGAGATTATAATGTAACAAATAGCATACTATTATTCTTGCTTACGTGTAAGATGGGTCATGTTTGGAACTTATACGAGTAGGATGACATTATTTTACTAGTAAGGATATAAAACAGATGAACGTGCCACCTTTTTATAAGTCTTTTTACACGTACTATTACATAGATATTTTGCAACTGCTAAAGTAAAATTACAGTACTCTCTTGTTAAATATTTGTACATGATACAATGCGTTGATCTCTTGTAAATATTGTAAATGTTACAGTGCGTGTCTCTCTTTTGTAAATATTGCATATGTTAAAGTGCGTTACTCTCTTGTAAATATTGTATATGATACATTGCGTTACTCTCTTGTAAAATATTTGTACAAGATACAATGGTTTGATCTCTCGTTGAATAATTGTTCATGATACAATGCGTTACTTTCTTGTTGAATATCTGTATATGATACGGTGGGTTACTTTCTTGTTGAATATTTGTATATTATACAATACCCTACAGGTTACTTTCTGTCACCATAGTCATTTAATTTATTTTGTTAATTATAGTTGTTCTCTATCTATAGCTACACCTTATTTTATTCCTTTTTATTCTTTTATACATATTTTATGTTGTTTTAAAGGCTGATTACACAATTTTTTTTAAAATCATAAAACTAACACCTAAAGTCATTTTTAAATGAATAAAATGATTAAGTTTATTCGCATAAATAATAATGATTTCTTGTTTTAGATTTAACAACTCCATTTCAAAAATGGAAAACAGGTTTTTTTTGGATTTTTAAGGGTAAAAGCAAAAATGTTGATTTTTAAACATTATAGAAAGTTTACAATTTCTTAATATTTTAGAAATATTATATTTACAACCATGATATCAGTCCAGATCTAGATGTCCTTTTTTATGCTTATATCATACATATTTGTCTCAAATCATATTCTATTTTTCATTTTCATAGACATTCATGTGATTCAGTATTTTCTTCTCATGAATTGAGATGAAGGCAACAGAGTTGCGTGAATATTTATGAAATTTATACCATTAGCTAGCAGATAAAAAGAGAGCTACAAAATACTATCTAGAGATATATGTACATGTTATATGACTATCGTAACTGTAATATGCAAGTAAATAATATTAAATATTTTATTTTATATTGCTCTAGTGTTTTATATCGACGAAAAATTCCGGATGTTCTTAGATAAAGGATGTCTTGTGGATTAAAGCATCATGACTCTACGACCATCAGACCTCAGTACCTACTTTTATATTCTACGTTTGAAAACCCCAATTTATGATAGTCACAGTTTACTTTCTAAGGATGAGATTCTTGAAAATCACATATTATTTATACATACATATAATATGTATGTAAACATAGTCTTTTAACATTCAAGTCAATGAAGGTGCATTCTAGCTATCCTACATGTAATTGAAACCTTAAGGTTTCGTCAAAGGTCAACATGTCTAAAAAAATATTTTTACAATTGCTCCAAAACTATGTGTGGTATAAAGTCAAAACGTTTACAGTTTTTAAATATATCACTGATTAATAGTATCACTTGATAACAAATATTTTGAACCAACTCAACGCACATCAATATATTTTACCATGGAGATACTTAAAGCACTCCAAATCTTTATCTTTCCAATACAAAGGTGTCGATAACAAACGGGGGAGGGGAGCAATAAACCTAAAAAGGGTACGCTGCATTTTCAATGCTTATACGATGTATATATCTTTCCAAAATAAGTGGGGGGGGGGGGGTTTGCCCCCATCCCCTCCCCTGGCCCTTCGCCCAGTCTCGATTTCTATGCTTTACTCAAAGCATTCATATAATTATGTATTTACCTAAATGGTATGACGTTGAAAACTTTCAATAAAAATTAGTTAATTAAAACTGATGAAAACTAGAAATTTTAAAGTACAGTAAAACGTATGAGAGAGAAAGAATTTTCATAGTTTTGAACAATCAAATTGGCCCCTTTTTATTATGATCAATGCTAAGTTATGCTAAATGCTAATTTTAACGCACTTTGAAAAATTTTTTCAAAGTGCGTAATTTTTCAAAGTGCGTTGTAACAATGGTTTTCACTAAAAGCACAGAATTAATGAGGTGTATTTTTTGAAAATACTGTAGTATATGCATTTTTAAGAAGAATTTTTCTCAATTAATATTATTCCAAGTATTTTTTTATCAAGTGATACTTTCTATTTGTTAATCAATAAAAAAAATTATAAACTGTAAAAGTTTTGACTTTGTACCTTACATAGATTTGGGGCTATTGTAAAAATAAATTTTTGGACATGTTGACCTTTAACGAAACCTTAACTGTATAAAAGCTTTACAAAGATACATTGATGGGTCCAGGAAGTGCTCCACCATGTCCCTGATATTAATCGTTGTCAGTGAGAAACTTAAACGCGATTCAGAATACCCAAATGAATTGAACTGAAAATTGAAGATTACAGAGTATGCCACATCTGCTTCTTATTTAGATGCTTTACTCGTATACTAGCTAAAGACGTCAATAGCCAACCAAACTATCATACAAATACTCTTCCAAAATCTTTTCCTTATTTACCAGTATTTATTATTTTAAATTGGTATTTTACAAATTCTGTGGTCATTCAATGACCTTTCCTTCTAGAAAATGACCTTGTGTGAAAACGAATCTATCATTGGGTCGTATTTTGATAGGCATATTTCCTATCAATTGTAGGCCATTGCTTTATATCATTTTGACTACAAATAACTCCGTGTTCACCTATCTAACGAGGTTGGCTCCTGTCTTAAACTTTTTTCCTCAAGTATATTTTTAGTGTCTACACACAGGGCTTAATTAAAAGTCAAATCAAAAAATGGATGTAAATATGCTTCTTTTGGCGCTACAGTACATTAGATATGACCTTTTTGCACTGAAATTATGTGTTAATCAAAAATTACATCTTCGACGCTATCCCTCAAATATTTTTATCCAAATGAAGCATGAAAAAAAACTGTAAGTCTATTTAAAAAAAAAAACATTTAAAATTGTGACTAAGAAAAGGTTTGAAATTGCTTTGTATAATCAATTTTCCGTAAAATCAATTATTTGACCACCGAAATATAGCTGAAATTTTGCCCACTCGGCGTAAAACAGCAAGAAATAAATCATTTGACTTTTCTGCACTCACAAAATGTGATTTTTCTGGAATTAAAAAGTAAGCAAGAAAATCATTTTAAAGTCTTAAACTTTTGCTGAACTTAAGCAGATGGGTCAAAGTTATATGAAATGTTCAGGAAAAAAACATCAAAAGTGATGGTATGTGATGTAATCTTATAGATTTTACTTTAAAAAGTGTAAATGTGATGTTAAAATTGGATCAATTTTTTTCCTGGACTTTCAGAATATATTTACTATAATTGTCAAATCTCGTTGAAAGAACTTATCATAAATATTTGATTAGATTTTCAGAACCAACATAACACACTTCACTGAAATAAAAAATCATCGTGTGCAACCAGCATGGACAAATAGGAACCGAAAATCAACAGCAAGTTACAGTATATATTTCAAAAGAAAAAAAAATCATTTTTCTAAAAAAAAACCTTTCGCCACAAAATGTAGTACCTGGCTTAATCCTACTTGAATGGAATTTAATTGCTTTTTTCCATCGTATATAGTTCAATTTGCATTGTAAAATCAAAATTCAATGTTAAAGCTTAAAAATGATGCTGAATTTTAGAAATAAAGGTCCAGACTAAAATCTGCTCAAAAGCTCAGGATCGAACATCCTTCAATATATAGAAAGGTCAAGGTGAATGTGATTTGTCGACAGAGGTTGCCTACTCCTTATAGGAACCTGATCCCATCTCCGTTGTAACAGAGTTACGTGTTTGCCCATTTCATTATTCATACTCCATACGGGCTTTATGAGATTGATATCTGTTTGTTTGACTAACTTTTTTTATTCAACTGTCTGTTTATTTCACATTTAATGCTGAACTTTTTTATACCTTGAAATGGACATTACTAACAATCGACACAGTATGACGCGTAAGCGTTTTCAATATTCATAAATCCAAAGGGATCAGATTTGCACTTGAAAAGACTGTTCTTTGGGAGCTGCGCATGGTTCAAAATAATTTGATTATATCCTTCTTGGAAAAAAAACTTTATTACATAAAACAAGGAAATTTACAAATAACAAAGCGTGCACTTAATTCAACAAAAGAACATAAATGTGACATTCTAAAATCAGAATACATAGCAGTGTGCATGTTACGACAGAAAGTTTATGAGAGAGAAGGCATGGTTAAAAATTCATCAAATTCTTCAGAACTGCAAGAGCAACTAGTATGATAGTCATCACAGGTGTCATTCTGGGTAGCTCTGTGAAACAAAAAAACTTGTTATGATTCTAAATACATAAATCGATGAATCAGGCAATTTGTTTTTTTTTTTTAGAGATAAACGTTTGTATTTCATTCAAAAAAATGAAGCTTATCAAAATCGATATGCTTTAACATTTTGCCAAACGATTTAGAAGTAAAGTTTATTGTGAGGACGCTTTTTGCATATAATCAGTAAAACTCTGCAGATATAAACCCAACTTATTTTCAATTAATATGCACATATATTTTGATCTTTAAGTTTCGTAGTGTTTTAAAACAAAATGTAGTGAGTTTTTAAACAAAATAGTTATTAAGACACACGTACAAGATCCTTCATGGATATGTTATTTTATTGCAGTTGAAAACAACGCTAATACTGAGTGACGAGTGTAAATTATGACGTATACCTGCTCCAGCCTTGGCCATACAGGTGTTGATGTGTCCGGCAGGACATCCGGCCCACGCCTCGTCTTCGTCACTTCCGTCGTCACATTCCCCGGAACAATCGCAGACGAATGCCTGCTCCACACACGTCATAGCTCCTGAGAAACAGCCGAAATAACCAGCGGGGCACTGAAATACATTAAAAGTTTAAGTATAGGACAAGACTTTCCAGATAATCTCAGATTTTCAATTTACTGAAATTTACTGAGTAAAATCAGTTTTTAAGGAGTCCATTTTCGAAGACACTTGAGCATTTGATAAACAAAATTATTTTCAAGAGTAAGTCTGAAAACTATGACGTTAAAGAGCTCTACCTGTCCACTGTTTCCATTGGTTGGTGGTCCACACGTGGTCATTGAACAATCTGTTAATTCACTGGAATCTCCCAGACAGTCCTGGCCGCCATTGAGCGGTGCTGGGTTTGTACAGGTCCTAGACCTGGACTTCTGACCGTTACCACACGTGATAGTACACGTGCCCCAGTCTGACCAATCACTCCAGCCTCCATTTACTGTTATCAATTTTAAAATATCACTAACATAAGTAATGTATTACGGATGATGCAAGATATGCAAAAAAAAATACATTCGCTGATGATAAAGCAGTGATTCCCAAGGTATTTTAGGTATAAAACGCTTGATATGTGGTAAACTTGTATATTCCATTGCAAATTACTGGGTAGTGTTAGGTCATATCTTGGCTTTTTTAAGAAAAATTAAAAGTTCCATGAAAATCTGTCTCATTTTAAAATCAGTTATATCTTTGCAATCTTTGAACAAAAAGTATTTAAAACATCCACACACGACTGTTCGGCATTGCAAAATTATATCAACCTACCCTAATATAAGAAATGTTCTGTTTTTCTAAGGTGAAATTGGCAAACTAAAACAAAGCAGGAAACTGACCAGCACAAGCCTGTGTGTTACAGTCTTGAGTCTCTGAAGTGTCACCGGAACAATCAGCGCCGCCATGCTGTGGTGCGGGGTTTGTACAAGTTCTGGTTCTACCCTGACTTCCTCCTCCACATGTGACAGAACACGTGTCCCAGGCGGACCAATCAGAGAAGCCTCCGTCAACTAAAGAATATCGAAATTTAATGTTATTTAATACTCAGACATATTTAGTGAGATTATAAAGAGTGAAGCAATGTCACTTAACATGCAAATCCTTACTTGCACAGGGCTGAGAACTACAATTCTGAGTTTCTGAAGCAACACCAAGATTGGTACAGTCTTCTCCGCCATACTGTGGTACAGGGTCGGTACACGTACGTGTGCGTGTCTGTGTTCCTCCGCCGCACGAGACTGTGCATGTGTCCCAAATAGTCCAGTTAGTGTAACCTCCATCAACTATAAAAAAGGTAAGAAATACATGGTTCCTGTTCGATGCATTATCATTTACTACGAAATCGTAACATTAAACAGTTAATCACTTTTGATGATAAATACATGCCAAATATGCAAGTGAAAGATAAGAATATCACTTCAAAGCAAAAATTCAAATTTTTTTCATTGCATGTATCATTATTGTTTCAATGAAAACTATTATGAAAAATTCCATTTTTTGTTATCTTAAATATTTTTTCTCAAGCCAATGGTTTCACAGTTGTTAAATTCACATGAAATACATTTCACTGTATTTTTTTCTGAACTTTTTGAACTCTTTTCCTTCTGAAGAGTAATTTTCTTATAACATACTTGGACAGAAGTCTATGTTGCAGTCTTGAGTTTCTGTCAGGTCACCAGTACAATCTGCACCGCCATATTGTGGGATCGGATCGGTGCACGTTCTAGTTCTACTTTGACTTCCTCCACCACACGTGACAGAACACGTGTCCCATGCGGACCAATCAGTGAGGCCTCCATCAACTAAAGAAGTCAATTCATAATGGGGTTTACATGATTAAAGAAATATATGAGCTTCATTTTTCATAATTTTATTTTGCTGTTAAAACGTGCTATTATGATAAAGTTACTTGTAGTTTAAATATATATGACCAATTAGACAAAAACAAAGTATTTTTTAGAAGTAAGATTTCTGAATAGTGGAATGTGTAGTATTAAATAAGAAATCAATACTGATCAGAATGACAATAATGTAATTTTGCTTCAATCAAAGCATTTCAATAGTTCTTCCATCACAAATACGAACAAAGAAGTTTATAAATGTTATTTTTTCCGACAATAAAAAAGTTAATTACAATTTTGCAGCCAAAAATTCTGACTTCAGATTTTCATCTCATATTGATTTAGACATCTTGAATACATCTTTGGATTTTACATGGTACTCCAGTATAATGTCTAGGCATATTCTGATTTCTTACTTCCGAAAAGTACATAATAAATCGTCTGTAAATCAATTCTTTTACGCTATGCAGAAAGTATCATAAGGAAATTTTCATCAAAGGACTTAAAAAGGAGCAGAAACATAAAATACAAATCTTTTTTAAGTCGTTAGATAAAGCAAAATGACAATGGTACGGCTTGTAACTTTTTTCATCAACCCTTACTAGGACAGGCCTGTGTGCTACAGTCTTGAGTTTCTGAAGCGATACCAAGACTAGAACAGTCAGCTCCACCATACTGTGGTGAGGGGTCGGTACATGTGCGAGTGCGTGTTTGTGACCCTCCTCCACACGTGACTGTACACGTGTCCCAAACTGTCCAACTTGTGTATCCTCCATCAACTGTTCAAAGAAAATAATATCCTGTGCTTGGGTGATCCAAAAAAGGTTAGGTCCTTACTGATTTTTAAAATTCACCACTACCGTTTGATGTTTTGGCCTCATAAGGAAGAATCCAAGAAAAGATCTCATGGAAAAATATTTCGCTAAAATTTTACTTCCTTAAATTTGCTTGCGGATATTCAGAACATACTTGGACAGAAGTCTGTGTTGCAATCTTGTGTCTCTGTTAGATCACCGCTACAATCAGCGCCGCCATATTGTGGAGCTGGGTTTGTACAAGTTCTAGTTCTACCTTGACTTCCTCCTCCACACGTGACAGAACACGTGTCCCATGATGACCAATCAGAAAAGCCTCCATCAACTAAAGATGACAGAATATGTGGTCTCTTTATAAACTTGCAAATACAATGTGAAATGGTATTGACATATTCAGTAGAGTAGCCAAAACGCGGTGTAATCAGTCCATCTTATTCAGGTTACAATCAGAAACATCTTTCTGATTTCAAACAAATTGCAGAACCAAGATAGCACTTGCTTGCAGCTGTTTCTCATGTCCACACTATTGCTGTGACCAAATCAAATCACTTTAACCTGGCTCTTAGACTAAAGCTCAATCCTCTCTATTTTTATTACACGTGTTTTAACTTAAGCAGTTTTTTTCGGTTGCCCATGCCACTGTTACTGCAGTAAAATAAAGGAAATTTTATGGCAAGACTGACCAGTGGTCGTGAATTATCTCCACATAGAGAACTTTCAGTTCTCTAGGCCTTCAGTCAGCTTGATAGCACAAATCAACAAGCACGTAACAAGAACAGAGTTAGGAAAAGTGCCTGATAGAAGATATCCCCGACTTTTGTACGTGGCAAAAGGCACAATGGATTTATAGTTGGTGTTGCAATTGTCCGAGTCCAGCTCTTTGGACAGTGTTTTAATACAGTAGAGTTGTCGATTAATTTTCTTCAATAAGAGAGCACTATGTGTATTTCCAAGATTGGGAATCACATACGGACAATTCAAGGAACATCTCAAAGCTACAAATCAGGTAATTGTTAAAAGCAAACAAATTCACTAAAGCAGTACATTTACCATGCGGGTAAGAAATTGTTTGAAACTATATATTTAGGTTCATTTCATATGAGGAAATATTTTGTGAGACTCTATATTGTAATTAGAAACATATTGTCTTGGAAAGGAGTAACAGCATGGTACGAGTAACTTGTCCAACAACTAAAGGGAAAAAGGGAATTTGGTTTGATTCTTATACTGACATTTTAAACTAAAAATTATTTGATAAGTCCAACTGGTGAATAAAAGAAAAAAGTACTTGGTACTTTAATTTGGAAGTTTTCTCAACCGCCCCTGTTTATTTATGAAATCTTATTTCATTGTACAAACCTTCGTGACATTGAACATACTTTAACTGATACTGGAGCAACATGTGAGAATCCGATAACAACCCTTCAGTTACATAATTGCTGTTGATATGAATGAATGAATGTTTAGCAACATTGAGTAAAATTAAAGCTTTTCAAGTTAACATTGTTTGAATTAAAAGGGATGATACATGAACTGCTGTAAAAGCATCTCTTAGTGTAAGCTGCAAATTCATTCTGTCTGTGTTTCATAAAACAACAACAAAAGTAGTCTACACCAGTCTTACTTGGACAGTTGTTGGTGTTACAGACTTGTATCTCAGCATCCACTCCCGTGCAGTCCGCTCCTCCATACTGCGGGACAGGATTAGTACAATTACGGTATCTCTCCTGGGATCCGCCCCCGCATGTCACGGTACAGGTATCCCACTGTGTCCAGTCAGTGTAACCTCCATCAACTGAATAAAATTAATTTCATTAATTACATCATTAGCCATAATTATGACAATTTTTATTGAAAGAATATCTTCATTTCAATCCTACAAAAGGTAAGTTTTAATCTGTTATATATCATCTTTTATCGTTAAAATCTAAACATATCGTTTATACTAAATTATAATTAGCCCACTTAAGAAAGTCGTAGCATTGTCTCAACTACCAAGAGGATTTATAATTATAATGCATATTGAGGACATACTGGGGCAGTTTTGTGTGTTGCAGTCCTGGGACTGTGCAAAATCTCCGGTACAGTTAGCGCCGCCGTGTTGAGGGGCGGGGTTGGTACATGTTCTGGTACGCCCCTGGGATCCGCCCCCGCAGGACACGGTGCAGTCATCCCAATCTGTCCAGTCCGTGAAGCCACCATCAACTGTTCAATTAAACACGATCAAAGGTTAATGGTGTATCCTTCAAAAAGTATATTTAGGTTTCGATTAATTTAAATTTTATTTGTCTTATTAAACAGAAGGTAGGTTTTGTTGTCCATTTCAATCTTTTTAATAGTGGAGATATAAAAATGCCTTGATATTACGTTAACGATATAAATTACATGTATTTAGTTCATTAATACGGCACCGGTGGTGGGCAAGGATAAATAATGTTTTCATTTTTTCGGGCGAATGAGAAATTTAATACAAATTTGAATTTCTAATTTGTCCGAACGAATTTTTAATTTTTTCGTTTAAAGGTTTTTTCCTGCCCCTCCCCCCCTCCGAGACGCCACAGTATCGTAAATTGATGAAACTTCGTAAAAACTCTTACTTGGACAAGCCTGTGTGTTACAGTCCTGAGATTGTGATTCATCTCCAAGACTGGAACAGTCTGCCCCACCGTACTGTGGTGCCGGATTCGTGCATGTGCGTGAGCGTGTCTGTGAACCTCCTCCACACGTGACTGTGCACGTATCCCAAACTGTCCAATCTGTATAACCGCCGTCAACTACAAAGGTTGCATTAATTTTAGATAAACTGTGGGTAAAAATAACACAATTCAAATTTAAAGGTAATTCGAAAACTAATATATGTACTTCAGTACATACTTGGACAGAAATCTGTGTTGCAATCCCGACTTTCTGTTAGATCACCAGAACAATCGGCGCCGCCGTACTGTGGTGCGGGGTTTGTACAAGTTCTGGTTCGGCCTTGACTTCCTCCTCCACACGTGACAGAACACGTGTCCCAGGCGGACCAATCAGAGAAACCCCCATCAACTACAGACAAATTAAACTCCAATATAATCTCTTTACATATAAAAATATAATATTTTAGGATGGGTAATATACTTTTATTAAAGATGAAGTGAAATATATTACTGATTTTTGCGAATACTCTTGAAGAATTGTAGGCATGAGACAAAGAAATGTTTCTTTTATCAAAGGTAAATAACTGCCGTAATTAATGTGTTATTTGACTCACTAGGACAGTTCTGTGTGTTACAGTCCTGACGTTCCTCGCTATCCCCGGTACAATCCGCCCCGCCATACTGAGGCATGGGATTGGTACAGCTACGGCTTCTGTTCTGGGATCCGCCACCGCATGTGACGGAACATAGATCCCAATCACTCCAGTCTGTGTATCCACCATCAACTGTATGACACAAAATATACATCATAGATAAAATTAAACTATACTATGGATGTTGTTTATATATACGGTATTTTGATTTATACCTTTCTATGGCTTTTTTCATATAGATTATACATAGATTACTCAGACAACATCTATAAAAGGTATATCTCTGACAAATGAAATTCAACAATATCTTGCTTTATACCGAATAAGACATTTCGTATATTATTTTTAACTCTTCTGTCCACCATTCGTCTATCAAAACAACCTCTTTAATACTGTTTCAACTGATCAACTACCTATTCTAAATATATTTAAATAAAATTCATAATGGAACAAACTACAACGGTAACGTTACAACAAACGTACTTGGACAGTTATGTGTATTACAATCCTGTTCTTCCGAAACGTCATCCACACATTGAGCTCCGCCATACTGAGGAACCGGGTTTGTGCATGACCTCAATCGACCTTGAGAACCTCCGCCACACGTCACAGAGCACGTGTCCCAGGCGGACCAATCCGTAAAGCCTCCATCAACTGAAATTTGCACATTGAAATTGTTTTCTTTATTAATATCTATAAGCTTATAACTTCCTTTATAATTGGAAATCAGTCTTGAATGACGTTTTCAATGGAAATAATGATGACAAAACCAAAATGACCACGTATTAAGAATCATCAATCGTACTTGGACAATTCTGGGTGTTGCAGTCCTGAGTGTCTGTCAGATCGCCGGTACAGTCAGCGCCGCCATATTGTGGAGCTGGGTTTGTGCATGTTCTTGTTCTGCCCTGATTTCCTCCTCCGCACGTGACAGAACAGGTATCCCAGGCGGACCAATCAGAGAAGCCTCCGTCAACTGTTTATTTTAAAACGTAAATTTGAATTCAAACTTTAAATTTAAATATTATCCAACTCGAAATTTATTATTGTAAATTTTTATTCAACCCAAATATAAAGATATTAAAAATATTTTTTGATAGTTATGAAAAAAATTAGCAGGTTACAAATACATTCCATTTACAGTTGCCTTAAAAGTGATTAAATAAATTAGGAATATAACTTTACTTGGACAATTTTGTGTGTTACAATCCTGAGCCTCGTTATCAGCTCCCACACATGCAGCGCCACCATACTGCGGTGCCGGATTTGTACAGGTTCTAGTTCTGCCCTGGGATCCGCCACCACATGTGACGGAACAAGTATCCCAACCGGACCAGTCCGTGAATCCTCCGTCAACTAAAGGGCAAAAAATTAAGTATCTTACTATTCTAAAAATGTCGATGATATTTAATTCAACAAAAAATGTTTCAAATTTTTTTTTTTTTTTGGTGGCAACATTTACGTCAATTGAATTTTATTTACAATTAAATATTCGAGACTGTCTGCAAAAATTTCGTTCTCAAGTTCAAGTTTCAAGTTCAAGTTTGCAATCATAGCATATAGAGTCTACATCAATTACAATTTCTTTATGAATTATTTTGTCATTTCTTGAAATACTTAATCTTTGTTTTGAACATATTTTATTGACATGTCAAAGGGATTGGACACAAGCTCCAAAAACTTAGATAGTCCTCTCCCATACTTAGATAGTCCTCTCCCATATATATTTGATAAAATATAAAGATGTAATTTTTTCTTTTTCTTTAATAACATTTTTATTACCCCTTGTGATAAACTTCAGTTTATAATAACGTCACAAGTCCGACGTCAACCTACCTATCAATTGCAAAATCGGTTAAAAATATATATAAAATTGTAATGACATTTTTATACCTATAATTTCTTAATTTTGTTTAATTTTAGGAATTAAGAAATATTTAATTGCTTCATTTTAGATTGCCAAAAATGAATTTGCTTAATATATTAGATTTTCAATAGAAGTGACAACATTTAAGTAAATCGATTTATTTTCAATTAACATCACTTACAACAAAAACTTAAATGTCTTTATCATAATGACAGAATAATTATCTTTCGAAAACAACCTCTTGTTTAAAAAATCAAAGCTATTAAAACTATTGTTAAATGTTTACTGATATTAATTTGTTAAGTGTAAGTATAAAACTGACAATTCTGTAGAACCGTAACCGTATTTGCCAGAATAGAATCTGAGGAAAGGGGATATCCCTTTTACACCATGAACAAGAAATCAGAACTCACTAGGACAATTGTGTGTGTTGCAGTCTTGGATCTCGTCAGGATCCCCACTACATGTAGCACCGCCATATTGTGGTGGCGGATTTGTACAGGTTCTGCTTCGGTTCTGTAATCCTCCGCCGCATGTCACGGAACAGGCGGACCAATCATTCCATGATGTATATCCTCCATCAACTGTGAATAAGTATTCCTTCTTTAATACATGTAACAATAATAATGCTGACTTTTTAAAAATATTTTCTGAAAAATATCAGCTGGAAATTACACCGTTTCTGCTTGATATTTTAATTATGATAAATCAAAATAGTTTTTTTTCCTCACGAACCTAATATTTTTTTTTAAATTCAATACGTTGAATATTTTCCTCGTTTTTTTCCCTCTCTCTCTCTCTTTATCTTTTTGAACATGAACTTGTTAAGCTTATTCAATTTCATCTTTCCAACAGTTTTGCATTAAGGAATGCAATTTTAGCCGATAATACACGTTAATAATAGTTAACAGAAAATTGATCTCAGACTTTTTGTTAACTTACTGGGACAGTGGTGCTCATTACAGGTCTGTTCATCAAACTTGGTCCCTGTGCAATCAGCACCTCCATACTGAGGGGCGGGGTTTGTGCAAGTCCTTGTCCTGCCCTGTGATCCGCCTCCACAGGTCACAGAGCATGTGTCCCAGGCCGACCAATCAGTGAAACCACCATCAACTAAGATTATCATATAAACAGTGTAAACTATTCATTGTAAACGCTCTTCCATTCTGGAGGGTTGTCAACACTTGACACAGTTTAGAATTTGAAAAAAAAAGATTTCAAATTTTACAAGTTATCTTGTTATCATAAAACATTTTTACACTGATTAAAACTAGGTTTCTTTGAAATAACTACAAAACAAGAATTAAATATTTCCAAGACATAGGACTTTGGAGAGCTGCATTACTTGGACAGAAGTGGGTGTTGCAGTCCTGAACTTCGCTCTCGTCTCCAATACAGGAAGCTCCACCGTACTGAGGGGCGGGGTTTGTACACGTTCTCGTGCGTCTCTGTGATCCGCCACCACAAGTGACAGAACACGTGTCCCAGGCCGACCAATCGGTGAACCCACCATCAACTAGAAATAACAGGTTTTTATCATTTTAAAATAAAAGGAGATGCGACAGCTTCCTCAAGAAAGTTGGTAACATGTTAAAAGACTACAGCAATGCAAAATAGCATAAAATTAAGACAAGCTGCGTTGTACACGTTCTATATTAGGAATTGATCGTACTTGGACAGTTATGGACGTATTGCAGTCATCGGTCTGAGAAGAAGGTCCTGTACAATCTGCTCCGCCATATTGTGGGGCCGGGTTTGTGCACGTTCTTGATCGACCCTGACTTCCTCCACCACATGTGACAGAACACGTGTCCCATGCTGACCAATCAGTGTGACCACCATCAACTGGAGATGTAAAATAGAAAATTTATTGAAACTTATTATTACACACTATACCGATGAATGCATAGGGCTTTAGGAACTTTGAAAATGTATACATATGAACAAAACTGTATCCTTACTTGGGCAGTTCTGTTCATTGCATGCCTGACTTTCCTTGCTGTCACCAGAACAGTCGGCGCCGCCATACTGTGGAGCCGGGTTTGTGCAAGTTCTAGTTCTACCTTGACTTCCTCCGCCACATGTTACAGAGCACGTGTCCCAGGCGGACCAATCAGTGAAGCCTCCGTCAACTATTGAGATAGACATTTATTTATATTTACACGCTTTTAACTGTGTTAAGAATTATAATTATTAATATGAAGTATTGTGAGTACATACGATGGAAGACAGGCAGATATCATACACTTTGAAGAACATATTTGAATTGCTTTTGACTTAGCAATGTTATCATGATATTGCAATGAATCTATGTGCTGAGTTTTCATACTTGGACAAGCTTGTGTGTTGCAGTCCTGATTTTCCTTGTTATCACCGGAACAAGCTGCGCCACCGTATTGCGGGGCTGGGTTGGTGCAGAAACGAGTTCGCTTTTGTGTGCCCCCACCGCACGTCACAGAACATGTGTCCCATTTGGACCAATCGGTGTAACCTCCGTCAACTGGAAGTAAATTCAAATTTGTATGATGCTATATCTTATTGGATAATTTTTATCATACAACAAACATGACCTAACGTAAATAAAGAATTAACAGATATTCTCTAATCATGTGATTTTTATATAATTATTCGTCATTAAAACACTGTATATAGGAAATTATATTTTGGTCTATTATGATCCAGTATACATTTTTTGTAAAAAATGTACTAAAACTCAATTTACAGTGTATTAAACGCATATATGTATCAAACTTATATAAAAAAGTTTTTTTCAAGCTAATGAAATCAAAATGATAAGAATTTAAAGAAAACAATTTTTGATTTGTTCCTTCATACCCTTAACTTTTTCCTTTTACAGCACTGCAAACAATGTTTTCAAATTCAGTCTTAGAACAGCTCCTTAGTCATTTAAAAAATAACAGTGTCCACTTACTTGGACAGAACTGTGTGTTACAGTGTTGTGACTCTTTGTTGTCGCCGACACATGGAGCCCCTCCGTACTGGGGACTGGGCTTAGAACATGACCTTGACCTGCTCTGAGATCCGCCCCCACAGCTGACTGAGCAAGGTTCCCAATCAGACCATTTAGTGTATCCTCCGTCAACTGAATCGAACAAGTATTCAAAATTAAAGTACATTTAAATTCATTACATATAATTTTCAGATTTTATATAATTTAAAAAAAAAACAACTGATGCATTTTATGGTTGACAAAGCAAAAGAAATTATTTTTTCTTCTAGATAACAAAAAATAACAAAGTTAGATTGTAAATTTTTATCAGTTTTTAACGTTTAACTATAACTTGTAACAATAGCCATCCTTTGTAAGCGATTAAACACGTTTCACATAATTTACTACATTTTGTTTGTAGTTAAAGGAAATGCACTCTCTACATACTTGGGCACTTGTGGGAGTTGCAGTCCTGAATTTCATCAGCTACACCGACACAAGCTTTCCCGCCGAATTGAGGAGCAGGGTTAGTACACGTCCTCTCTCGCTCCTGTGATCCGCCCCCACATGTTTGAGAACATTGGGTCCAGTCTGCCCACTCAGAGTAGCCACCATCAACTAATAATAGGATCAAGGTCAATAAATTAATAGATGCTTTAAGAAAAAATTAACAATAACATGTCAACTTTTATCATTAAAACCCAAAAAAATATTTTTCATATCATAACTAAATTTGAATAAATTATATATTAACTTGGACATTCCTGGGTGTTGCAATCTCTGTTTTGTGTAGGATCCCCACTACAAGACTTTCCGCCATATTGTGGGGCGGGGTTTGTACAGGTGCGTGATCGACTCTGGGACCCGCCTCCACATGTTACTGAACACGTGTCCCAGTTACTCCAAACGCTGTACCCGCCGTCAACTAAAAGACACAATCCGTTTATTATTGTTTCTAAAAATGCTCTTTTCGCTAATTAGAATTATAGATTATAGATACAGAAAATAAAACATCAATCTAGATAACAATTAGACATTAAGCTACACCTTATCAGAAGAGAGTGCCAAATGCAGCTTAAAAACAATAGCACTGTTTATTTAAAAAAAATATTACAACAAGAATAAATTTCAAAACAGGACAGCATACTTGGACAGTTCTGGGTATTGCAATCTTGGCTTTCCTTCAGGTCCCCAGTACAATCTGCACCGCCATAACGAGGCTCGGGCTTTGTACACGTGCGTGTTCTTTCCTGGGATCCGCCACCACAGGACACGCTGCAGGTGCCCCATTTACCCCAGTCAGTAAGGCCTCCATCAACTAAACAGATCAAGATGCATCATTAATATTACGATTTACATAAATTTCCAATTTCTTACTGGGTCGTTTAAAATTGTCAAAGGTAAGTTAACTTTGTACCTTAAGTTTTGCAAATACTTTTTTTTAAATAGATATATTACATGTATCATAATTTTAGCGTTTTTTTACTACACGTTTCTCTTTGTGAATAAATTTTAACTATTCATTTTACTATAAAGAACATAAAAGGAGTTGTATTTACTTGGACAGTTTTGTGTGTTACAGTCCTGAATCTCAGAATCTGCACCGGAACAGGAAGCTCCGCCATGTTGAGGGGCGGGGTTAGTACACGTACGAGATCGCTTCTGCAGTCCACCTCCACAGGTAAGAGAGCATTTCTCCCAGTCAGTCCAAGCAGTGTAGCCACCGTCAACTGATCATCAACAAAGTATTAGATTCTCTCTTTTGAAATGCATGTATTACATATAACATCTTACCACAATGCATAATACAAATAAACTGATATATCTAGGATTCCTTACTGGGACAAGGGTGGTCATTACAATCCTGAGCATGGTTCAAGTCACCAGAGCAGTCTTTGCCACCAAATTGAGGGGCGGGCTTGGTACAGGCGCGAGTTCTCTTCTGAGATCCACCTCCACATGTCACAGAACACGTATCAAACTGGGTCCATTCAGTCAGACCACCATCAACTGAAATGCAATATTTTTTGTCAAAGTTTTCACATTTTTTTTTCCTGTATTTTGGAATATTTTTAAAAAGATAATCATTGAAAAGTGGCACACAACCAATAAATACTAAAGCAAATTTTTTTAATCAACTCTGCCGAAATCAATATACGGTGGGCAATAAATGGTCTAATTTCCAAATTAATCGAAGGACTTCTATAGCAAGGTTATGCAGTATAAATTTTACGTCTGATGTCTTTTTTTAAGGTATATATTGTGTAAAAAAAACTTTATATAAATGTGTGTATCATTAATCGTACTTGGACAGTTTAGTGTATTGCAGTCTCTAGCTTCGGTTGTGTCCCCTGTGCATGGTTTTCCGCCGAACTGTGGCGCTGGATTTGTACATTTCCTGCTGCGTTTCTGTTCACCTCCTCCGCATGTGACTGTACAAGTTCCCCAATCCGACCAATCGCCAAATTTGCCATCAACTTTTTAAAAATATAAAAACATGTCCTTGACCTATTTTTACTAAAAAACAATCATGCATAATGCTAATTTAAAAAACGTTCTCTATTTTGTAATGATGGCCTGATGTAATACAACCGCAGATACTTAGAATACTCGATCCCTAAAATTGGTAAGACCTGATTTTTGAATTTATATATTTATTCATATTTTCTAAAATTATTCTTACTGGGACATTCCTGTTGGTTACAGGTCGTGGTTTGTGAGGAAGCCGCCGTGCAATCTTTCCCGCCAAATTTAGGGGCGGGATTTGTGCAGGTGCGGGTTCTCTGTTTCGTTCCTCCACCGCATGTCACTGAACAAGTGTCCCATTGACCCCAGCCGGAATAACCTCCATCAACTAGGATGTACCAAATGGAAGAAGAAAGGTCAGAACATACAGATATATTTTAGGATTTAGTTAGTATACTAAGGGAGAGTTGTTTTTAGAGTAGGAGGAGGAATGAGATTAACTAAAACTAACTTGGACATTCCTGTGCGTTACATTTGTCTCTCTGAATGTAATCTCCGGTGCAGTTCTTCCCGCTATATTGTGGTTTGGGGCTGTTACACAATCTTCCTCTGGCACGTGATCCGCCACCACACGAGGCAGAACACGGAGTCCAGAAACTCCACTTACTGAAACCACCGTCCACTGAAACAGTTCAACATATTGAGGACTGATACCTTACCATATTTGAAGTAAAGGGAATCGAAATAATAAAAAAAATATGCAGCTTTGTATGGAATCCGGATAGGGCCACGCAGTTCACTATCGCATCATCGCACCATCGAGGTTTAGGTCGATAGTGCGATGAAGAGATAATGCGATGACGATGAGGCGATGGTGCGATAGCGATGAAGTGATGGTGCGATAGCGCGATGACGATGATGCTATGGCGCGACAATGCGATGACGATGGTGCGATAATGCGATGACGCGATGGTACGATGACGCGATGGTGCGATAGTGATGACACGATGACGATGGTGCGATAGTACGATGACGATGATATTCACTATCGCTCAATCGTGCTATCGCACCATCGCCATCGCATTATCTCGCCATAGCATCATCGTCATCGCGCTATCGCATCATCGCTTCATCGTTATCGCACCACCGTTTTATCGTTATCGCGCCATCGCATTATCGCGCCATCGACCTTTAAGTTGATGCTCGATGGTGCGATAGTGAAGTGCGTGGCCCTATCCGGATTCCATAGCTTTGCAAAGCATAATAGCTTTATTAAAAGATAATTGTTCGTCTAATACCCTTTCCATCTGAAAATATCAAACATCTCTTCAGAGAATATTTTCATGGCTGGATTTAAACCACCTAACCTCCCCCTTTACGAGTTTTACAATTTATTGCCTCTCTTTCTCATCGTTGAAACCACTTACCGGGACAGTTGATATTTTTGCAGGTTATGGTGTACCCAGAGCTTCCATCACAGTCTTTGCCGCCATGAGCTGGGGCTGGATTGGTGCATGATCGGCGCTTAGTCATTTTTCCGAAGCCACAGGTCACTGAGCATGCGCTGTAAGGAGTCCAGTCGGTCCAACCTCCATCCACTTTAAAGAATAACACGTTTGATGATGTAATTTGACAGTTTTGGTGGATAAAACAAAAGGAAATGATTTTATATATGAAATACCTGGACATTATGAGATATATGTATCCGAGGCATTTCTCGTTTGGGATCATCGCTTGTGCATAACTTATTGGTAAACTTCTAGATCTATGCGTAATCGATGTATTTTTTGGTAAAAGGTAAGAGGACATTTCTGAATAATAATGTATAGCGCAACTTTTTTGGCATGCAAGTCATATGGTTTTCTGAATAATCAAGTAACCACGATAATTCTTTGTTCATTGATAACCAAGATATTTCAGGTATATAACTTATCTAGAAATTTCAAAGTATAAAGTTACCAGTTATTTCTACTTATAAAAATAACAATAATTAAAGAAATTTAAACAAAAAAAAAAATTCTGGAACAATAAATTACTAGGATCATATTTTACACAAAGGAACATTTTTGAGTATTAAAAGGGCATTTCTCCCAAATGCATTAATTGCAAATTCAATACTGTATATACAAAGAGAGATGCCGGGACATTACTGAGTAAATTAGTTACTGGGACATTTCTGAATAAATAATTAACAAAAACATTTCTGATGAATAAGATACCGGGACATTTCTAATAAATAGGTTATCGGGACATTTCTGAATAAATAATTTACAAAACATTTCTGATAAATCAGTTAACGGGATATTTCTGAACAAATCAGTTACCCGGACATTTCTGATAGATAAGTTATCGGGACACTTCTGAATAAATAAGTTACCGGGACATTTCTGATAGATAAGTTATCGGGACACTTCTGAATAAATAAGATACCGGGACATTTCTGATAGTTAAGTTATCGGGACACTTCTGAATAAATAAGTTACCGAGACATTTCTGATAGATAAGTTATTGGGACATTTCTGAGTATATATTACCGGGGTATTTCCGATAGATAAGTTATCGGGACATTTCTGATAAATCAGTTACCGGGATATTTCTGATAGATAAGTTATCGGGACACTTCTGAATAAATAAGTTACCGGGACATTTCTGATAGATAAATTATCGGGACATTTCTGAGTATATGTAACCGGGGTATTTCTGATAGGTAAGTTATCGGGACATTTCTGATAAATCAGTTACCGGGATATTTCTGATTAATGAGTTACCGGGACATTTCAGAATAAATAAGTTGCAGGGACATTTCTGATAAATAAGTTACCGAGACATTTCTGAGTATATGTAACTGGGACATTTCTGAATAAATCAGTTATCACGATTCTTCTGAAGAAATAAGTTTCCGGGACTTTTCTGAATAAATCAGTTACCCGGACACTTCCGTGTATATACCGGTAAGATCAATTTTACGGGACATTTTTGAATTATTTAATTACCGGGATATTTCTGAATATAACTTTCCGGGGTATTTCTGAATATATTAGTTACACGAGAAAATGTCTTATTAAAATAGTAGTTACCGGGACATTTCTTATTACATAAGCTACCTGGGCATTCATTGAGAATGAAACATATGGAGATAACGAACAGTATTCAAGATCAAAAGCCTATAAAACAATATAAAATAGGAGCAGATGAAAACACAGACCTAAAAAAATCAGAGGTGGGATCAGGTGCAATGAAGAAGTGAGCATCCTAGCCGTGTGCTACTAGGACTTTTCAAAGTCTTAAGTTTCCAGGTCCAGGTTCTGAGTATATAAGTTACCGGTAAATTTCCAAGTAAATGAATTACCGGGCGATTTCTGAGTGTTTCGTTACATGTCCACGTCTGAATATATAATCTACCATGATATTATTGGTTGTAAGAGTATTCCGGGTTTTATTCAAGCGGAACATATTTTCGTGTCATTTACCGGCACATTTCTGTGTGTTGCAGTAGCGGCCGTCCAGATCTACCCCAGCGCAGTCTTTCCCGCCATATTTAGGTGCTGGATTGGAGCACGTCCTCGCTCTCGTTTGCTTCCCAGTTCCGCATTCCTTGGAACACTTCGTCCATTTACCCCACGATCCCCAGTTCCCATGTACTGTTTAAATGAAATTTCGATTTTTAATCAAAGTAAAAGTAAAGTTGGACTACAAGTATAAGAACGAACGTTGATTTTTTTTCAAATCAAAATAAAAGGTGAAAAAATATTATAAAAGGCACTGGGAAATTACCTTTTGACCCTTACATGTATCAAGTTTCATTGTTAAGCTACACATTTTAGATTCATCATTTGAAAATAATTTTGGATTTTGGATTCGTTTTGAAAAGAAAACATTTGATACAATTTGACGTATGAAACGTATACCTGGGCAGGCCTGTGTGTTACAGTATTGTCCGTCGATGTCTACTCCCACGCAATCCTTTCCTCCGTTCTTGGCCGCTGGGTTGTTACACAAGCGTTTGCGGGTTTGTTTGCCTGTCCCACAGGGATTTGAGCATGTTGTCCAGGCGCCCCATTTACCCCAATTACCGTTTACTGTGAAATACAAATACATTTTTATACAATCACTATTATATAGATTCTACATCTCTACATGTCTCATTTCTTCACTTTAAAAAATGGAGGCGAAAACATGCAATACACAAAATTCTTCATTGTTAGATGACAATAGAAATGAATAAAGCAGGATTTATCTGTAAAATCTTAATTTTAATTGTTTATTTACCAGCGCAGCCTTGGGAATTACAAGTCTGAGTTTGTGTGTAGGATCCAACACATTTCTTGCCACCGTCTTTTGGAGCCGGGCTGTTACACAACCTTCCTCTGGCCTGAGTTCCTCCACCACAGTTCTTGGAGCAGGGAGACCAAGAAGACCACTTGCTGAAGCCACCATCAACTGAAAAAAGGATATAGAGATAACGAACAGTATTCAATATCAAAGTTCATAAAACAATACAAAATAGGAACAGAGCAAACACAGACCTCCGAAATATCTGAGGTGTGATCAGGTGCTGTTGAAGAATCAACAGTATTTAACTTATCAGTTAATTTTTATGCTATTATATCAATATTTGGAGATAATGTGAAAATTATAAGGTCCTTCTACTGAAAGAAGAGTAAGTTGTGAACTTCAAATGTTTTTACGAAAAACAATCAAAAGTATACTCCGTGTTTGTTTAACCTATTTCTCTAATTTGGCTACATTCATGCAAGAAATAAAAATGTTTTATTGTTTTTCTTTAGGTGAATTTGAATAAAACCTTCTGTTTTTTTTAAAACTCCAAATGATAGTCAAACTATATTCAATGATATTATGACGGTTGTAAATTTCCTAGACGACGATAAGTACTGTATGTGAACAATTATTATAAGATACGCGTAAATATGATCTTACCTGGACAGTTGACATTCTTGCAGACGACAGTGAAGCCAGAACTTCCATCACAGTCTTTCCCGCCATTTGTGGGGGCGGGGTTGTTACAGTATCTTCGCCTTGTCATCTTACCATAACCACAGGTCACTGAGCATGCGCTATACGAGCTCCAGCTGCTCCATCCGCCATTAACTGTAAATGATACCGGGTTAGATAAGTTGATATATCAATTTTCATTTAAACTTTCATACAAGGACTTGCAAAAGCAGGTCGTGATCTATGGAGACCTAAAATACTGAACTACGGTTATTTTGAACACGTGACATATAATTAACATATTGATAATATGGATAACTTTGGTATTTAGTCTGCAGCATTTATCTTTAAATGTAAAAGTTTAGGTGTTTTGGCTGTATCGATGTTCTATAAATAATCGTGATAGGGATATTTGCATACTTACCAGCGCAGTATTTCGTTGGATAACACGTAGACGTTGATTTAGAGCTACCGGAACAGGATGTCCCGCCATACTTTGGTGCGGGATTTGAACAAGTTCTTGTTCGAGTTCTGGTTCCTTTGCTGGAGGAGCTTGTCTTACAGGCCACAGAACAGCTGGACCACGAGGACCACGCGGCCCAATTACCATTAACTTCAATTCAGGAAAATAATTACACATGGTAAGCAGCAGTGTATGGATTTTTTTAATGTTTTTTTATCTATGCAAAGTTGGAAACGGAAAAAAGGTTTGTAGAAACTTTACTTTTTATATTACTTATAAATGTTTAGATATTATTCATTACATGACACCGAAAGTCAATCATTGGTTAAAATATGTATGTGCGATTCAATGTATCAATGAATATTATATTGGTTCTAAATTCTTTAAATATATTATTATATATGCTTTAATATGAATGAAGAGGAAGTGTCCAATTCAAAATGAACTTTTTAAAATTAAATAACATACTGGGCACTGGTTTGGCACAATCTTCATTTACTTTTCCATCACGATCGTCATCTACAAACAGAAGATCTAACTAAGCTTCTTCATTGATGCAGGTCGGACAACCATTTACATGAAATATAAGTGTTACTTTTACCAATAGGGACTTTTACATGATATATTTGGTATAGGATTTATGATTGACCTCTGACCTTTGTTTTTGTTTTCTGTTGTACAAATTTCCTCATCTATCTTGCCGTCACAATCGTTATCAATACCATCACCGTCTACAGATTTGGTTGGCGTGCAGGGCTATTTAAAGAATATTGTTTATTGTTAGTGAAGCATGTGTCAAACTGATAAAAATTGTCTAATAACTTTTTTGTATCAGATTGTATTACCCTGCCATTAAAAATTTCATTTTTGTCCTTATTTCTTTACAGAGAAATGGAAATCATAAATCTTTTTTTAACATAGATGAAAACGTACGGCGTTAACTTTTCCCATTCTCATCCCAGTGCTAAATCCATAGGTCTCGTATCTAGCTTGCCCGTACAGGTATCCTCCAAAAATAGAGATGGGTGACGTGTGCATAACGGTATGTGATCCTTGGGATACAGGTACGTAACCACCCACTAGATCCGTGCCTGCGATCTTATTATACTTAGTAGATGACGGGAAGGCTTTCCCATCCAAACGAAGACCTTTGACCTCTGAACTCTTGGCAATGAACATGAAGTAGTTATTATAAGAACCGAGTGAGTACTTTGGTGTGGCGAATGTGTAGTCGGCGCCATATTGCTCGATGGGCGGGATGATCATCATGGCAGGGTCAGACAACTCTGATGATTTCTGCTGTGACTGCACGAACTGGACCACCATGATGGGCTTTGTCGACTTGATAAAACAGTACGCAGTGGATGGAATTTTTTTCAGAACCACCTGGCCAGCTGTAAGAGTGAAAGAAGACTTGTATCCGCCGGAAATGGTGACTGTTGTTCCGCTCTCACTTCCGATAAACTTGAAGTAGTCTCCGACGGTTCGTTTGGGAATAGGAGCTGTGGCAAACTCCTTACCCCAAGTATTAACCGGAGTCATCTGTTCCACTAGATGATCGGATGATGTACCGGTACCGATGTTTGTTTTACGGTTTCCTGAGAACACCGCAACCGGTTTATTTGCGACAACCCTAGTACCGGTGAAATCACCTTTTGCGGTCGTGAGCTGCCAAGTACCATATTTGTCTAGTTTTTCTGTGACTGTATTTCCCTTATAATACTTTTTACCACCATACGATACATATCTAGACCCAAGACTGCTGCCAAAATTCACACTAACTGACGTTCCATCATGCGCACCGACCACCAGAAGTTGGGACTGGTAGGTAGATGGGTACCAGGAAACTACGTAGTAATCATTTGAAATGACGTCAGTAGGAAGGGCGACAAATCCATCACAGGAATACAGTTCTTTGTTGATTCCGTAAACCACGACCTCGTCCGTGGCCCGGATCAGAATACCTTTCGTGCCTTTAGCTGACCCGTCCATCCTGATATTCTGGTCAAGGAAGAGCTGTTTGACCTGGCCCTTGGAGATGGTGAAGCTTGACCGGATGTAGGGCTTAGAGGACTTCGGGGACTGGACACTCACACTGACCGATTTTTTGGAGCTGGTTGTGATAAAAAGTTCGACTTTCATGTTGAGGTTAATGTTTTGCATGAAGCCGATGATAAATTCTGTACCCCTGTTGTCTGGTGCTCCTATAAGTCAGTTATATAATAAATTTTATCTATGAATTATATTATTTTGAGATTACATTAAATAAAAGAATATGACAAATCTAAACGTAATATCTTTCTTTGTTAATAGTGTCAACTATTTTAAGTATTCAGTTAACATTTTACAAGATGTCGTAAGATGTCGTACTGTCTTACCTTGCAATGGTACTGTCACTGAAAATAAAAGATAAATACCTACTTATAGTTGTTGATTTGATGTAAACTAGTATACATAAATTATGCATTTGAAATTCATAATAAAATGAGAACCCTTTTTCTGAGGGTTTTGTAGTGGATAATATTTGTTTGCAATGTACGTTTTACAAACATTCAGATTAATAAACTGTCAAATTTGTGCACAAAAAAGTCAAAAGAATTACCTAAACTCTTTGGCGTTTTTATTGGAACTGAAAAAGAAAATGCATGTACGTCATCTTTCAAAAAACAAATCATATCATTTTCCTCTCCCATAATTGTGCGATATAAAACTCTTTTTTAAAATGAGAACATAAATAGCATGCGCATGTCAATTTCATGATCATTTCCCACGTTTCTTATCGTAATTTGTCATTTACGTAGTGTTTAATAGACAAAAAAATGATTTTTATGGAAATGAATAAGAATTATATGATTTAAAGCTACATTTTTTTTCAAACCTGGGCAGTCCTGAGTGTTACAATAGCGGCCGTCCACGGACAAACCGCTGCAAGATTTCCCGCCATTACTAGGCTTAGGATTGGTACATGACCTTGACCTAGATTGTTTTCCAGTTCCGCAAGTTTTGCTACATGACGCCCACGATCCCCATGACGACCAGGCACCGTTTACTTAAAACAAAAAATGTTCTTTAAAACAATCTCCATTGAAACTGAATTTAAACAACTATTTTGTACAATGAAATATACTATACACTTGGTTACACATAAATATGCGTTTATGAATGAGATATATAGGTCTACATATACATATGTTTGTAAATATTTATTCTCCTAAAATTCTACTCAAATAACAGAAAAAAGTCCATTTTGTAAGGAACTGTTATGGAAAAGCAAGAATAATTTCATTATGACATCGAAATACTGTATCTGATATCAGAACTATTGTGAAAACTGTTTGAATCAAACAACATGATTCTTGAATAAATCTGTGGCAAGTCATCAGACAGATATATTTTTTATTTATTTTTCTTGATAATTTCTGGGATATATGAACCTTTTACTCCTCCAGTACAAAAGCCTTGATTTTTATGGGGTGCTTAGAGTTTTTTCTTTCTATTGTTTTGTTTTTTTTCTCTTTACTCCCATTCAAAACACTTACCGGCGCACCCCTGGGAATTACAAGTTTGAGTATCCAAGTATGATCCCACGCATTTTTTGCCCCCGTCTTTTGGGGCTGGGTTATTACACAGCCTACCGCGGGTACGAGATCCGCCCCCGCATTTCTTAGAACAGGCAGTCCATGTTGACCATGCACTAAATCCTCCATTTACTGAGAAATGAAAAATAAAATACAAATTTGTAACAAGCAAATTTTAAATTAAAATCTGTAAAGCACCGAATTCAATTTTTGATTGTAGTTTGCTCGGACAAACTACAATTTCAAACGTTTTAAATACTAGTATCGAAAGTTGTAGTTTTTACGAAAAACTTAATCAGAAAAATACACATAAAATTTCAATGTTGCTAAGTAAAAAAAAACCATGTAGATTCTTCTTTTGCTTCTTTCAAAGTAATCTATAAAATCGTCGATGAGATCGTAAAAAAAACTTTATTCGGTTATAACTAATATCTGCCACCCAAATCAAACTTTGACGGAGAAATATTTAATTATGTACTTAAACAGGGGGATAAATACTGACTTCAAAGCACTGAATATTTTCATAAGCAATGACGTCATATGTTTGAAATGACGCCATGAAAATGACGTAAATTTAAAATTTTCCATGATTTCTACAGAAAAATGTATATATTCAGTCGATATTTTGAGTAAAAATCACCGAGCGCAGGTATGATTAGGCTCAATATTTTTATATAATGTGTAGAATGATAATATCAATGAAATATGTAAATATTGTTTCTGAGCAAACTTGCGCTCTATAAATTTTAAAGCTTAAATTGTTGAAATTTGTCCATTTTGTCCTTTTTTTAATTTTTTTAAAATGATATAAAATCGGACTAGTTTGTGACGTCATAAAAACAAAAATTGTCAATAAACTACTTTGAAACTATAATATGTTCTGTTTATTCATATTTCTTATATAATTTACATAATTCAGCACTTTTCAAGAATTTTTCAAAATTTGACTTTTGAGGGGGCAAAGATATGATACCGCATATAGTTCTTTATGTTGTATCTCAAAGGCATTAATTTTTCTTCCAGCACATACACAAAACTCCACCAAATATCATCATACCTGGACAGTTGACATTCCTGCAGACGACAGTGAACCCAGAGCTTCCCACGCAGTCTTTGCCGCCATTAGAGGGCTTGGGATTGTTACAGTATCTACGCCTAGTCATCTTCCCGTAACCACAGGTCACGGAGCATGCGCTGTACGAGCTCCAGCTGCTCCATCCGCCATTAACTGAAACCAAAACTAATCATTAAAAATAAGTAAATGCATATGCTGAGGAACTTTTGAATATTAACGTGATAATGATAATGATGATGATGTTGTTGGTGGTGGTGGTTGTGTTGTTTGTGTTGGTGGTGGTTGTGTTGGTGTTGGTTGTGGTGGTGGTTGTTGTGGTGGTGGTGGTTGTGTTGGTGCTGGTTATGATGTTGATACTGAAGAAAATAACGGTGTAAATGACAGAGAATCCTAATGATTATTATAATGGTTGTAGTGGTTGATCACACACCTGCACAAAACTTAGAGGGAATACAGGTGGAAGTTATTATGGAGCTTCCAGAACAGGATTTGCCTCCGTATTTGGGTGCAGGATTTGTACAACTTCTTTTTCTGGTCCTGATTCCGATGCTTAAATAACTTGTTTTACATGAAACGGAACAACTCGACCATGACGACCACGAGGTCCATTTACCATTTACTATAAATCATAAAATGTTAGGAGAGAATTAAAATAAACGACTATATTGCTTGATCTTCTGTCTCTTGATCTTAAGTAGTAAAGTTTATATATGGTATTACTATATAAAACATTGTTTTGTTTTTTTTTGTCATAATTTTGAATTATTTGACATAATAAGATATCCAGATTCTTAACATAAATTTGAATGAATTAATTTGAATGAACATAGTTTCTTTTCTGCTTTCGTGACATGTAAATTCTCATCATTTTATGATACCTTTTTATAAATTCTATGAATAACGATATACATACTATACATGATTTACTGTGTGTGTGTTTGTTTTTTTTTCGACAAACCTGGGCATGTCTTTGTGTTACAGTAACGCCCGTCCAGTGACAAACCACTACAGGATTTCCCACCACCACTAGGTTTGGGATTGGTACATGACCTTGACCTTGTTTGCTTCCCTGTTCCGCATGACTTGCTACAAGACGTCCACGATCCCCAGGATGACCAGGCATCGTTAACTACAAAAGAAGCAATTCCATTTCAAAACAATCACGATGATTCCTTTAAAACACATAGACGTAGAAAAGACAAGGATGCATTTAAGATTTCAGAGAAGAAAACCAATTTGAAAGTTCTGTGAATCAATATTTCGTTCCCTGACACTTCTTTTACAGTTGATAGCAAAAGAAGGATGAAAAAAGTAAGATAAGGGGAGCAATTGTGATATAATTTTAGCTCTGGGGGTTTATATGTGTTGGCGTTAACCATAAAGACCCTGCCCTACTACGGAACTGCAGCAGCATTACCTACCGACGCAACTCTTGGTGTTGCAATATCGGCTCTGGCTAGAGGAACCGCTGCAACTTGAGCCCCCGTTCTTCGGCGCCGGGTTTGTACATGACCGTTTCCGTGTTTGTTTACCGGTTCCACATGCCTTGCTGCACGAAGACCATGATCCCCATGACGACCAGTTACCATTCACCCGTGTCACTTTAAGAAGAAAAAGGATGAAGCCAGGGTTATACAAAACAAACAAGATGCTTATTAGGGTAGTGTTTATCTGTTTATCGACTGCATAGAACGGTTTTGGTATTTTGTGGTAACACCGCGAGTTGCGACAGAAAAGTACGAACTTGGCTTAAGTTACATAAAAGATATACATAGTTGAGAATGCTTCATCAAGGAATGTGTATATGAGGGGGAAATCGCAAAAAACAAAATGTATGACAAATTAACCTTTTTTCTAAAATAAAAATTGATATAGAATGACTGTAAACGTAACTTTTTTTTTTATCACCAAGTAGTTTTTGTATTCATACGCCCAACAGACTTTGCATTAGTGATTGGGTCTTGTGCGTTATGTGTTGCTAGCACTTGACTTGTATAAATTAAATGCAGCGGAAAGCATAGTAAATGTTACTAATCTTGTCATGCATCATTGAAAAGAGCGGGTTTTTTTTTGGCTTTTTATCGAATGAAATCGTTCAAATGAATTGTACATTATTTCGTTTTCTTTTAATTGTTGGATTCCGATGCATAGACTGTTCGCACACTCTAATTTCTCACACTTTAAACCAATTCTTACTCAAAACATTTCAGGCTATCCAGACAAAAGGAAACATGTAAAATCTGTAATAAATGAGACTCTTTAATACTGTGTCAACAGAGCCTTTCCTATTTTAGTAATACCCTTTGTATTTTCTTTACTTATAGAGTTTTGGAGTCCAAAAGTTGGCAATCCCAAGACTTAATTTACTGTTTATTTGAAGACTTTAGAATGGGTTTTTAAAAATAATAGATTTAAATTTCTGGTCTGTATGAGCAATGAATTTATTCTAAACAAAAGAAAAATTACAGTACATTCGGAGGAAAGGGGGTGGGGTGGGGGGAAGGAGTAATTTATAAAATTAAAATTAGATAAAAGTCGCTGCAGAGAGTCACTATATGGAGAAATAGTTGCCGTTGACGCACGACCTCTGACGTTGTGTGGATGGGGGATACATGTATTATATATACACAAGACATTTAGCACTGTATTTGATTCAGATGCTTTCCGTCAGTAGCTCTGTCAATAGAATAATGTTAAATTTAAGTTATGTGCCTTGAATCATATAGGCCTAATCATATGTTTCAATGACGTTAGGTGAAAATGATGTAAGCTACATGAGTCCAATCCTGTTCTGCAATTTTTAATTGTTTTGCACAATCTATTCACTGTAATAGAAATATTTTTTGCAAAACATGTATCATGCTTTATATTTGGATAGTTTCGTTATTTAAAGAAAAAGTAATTTCCAAGCCTTCGATAATATATATCCCACCAATTTTCAAAGGTGGGCGCCTATAATATTCAGCAAGGGCGTCCGAGAAAACATGGATTGATTCCTGTAGTTTGAAATTCATCGGCCTTACTGATTGTTCCAGAAGACAAATAATTTCAATTTTGGAATAGTTTGAAATTGTTACAACGTAGAATTTTCTGTCCAGTTATTCTTTTAAAAAATAGAAGGGGGATGACCATTTGATCTCTATTGGGGAAGGGGGCTAAAGGTTCATTGATGTAAATAAGAAAGATGTGTTTTAAACAAAAATGAATTAATTAACTTCTCTTAAAAGAAAAAGGCGTATATCCGTTTCGGAAGAGCTCATAATTCTTGCACACTGACACAGGGAAAACTAACATATATACACTAAGCAACTGTATTTAAATTTTCATGTATTACAGTAAATTAATGCAAGGCGGTGTAGTTAGCGTTTAAAATCATTCAGATATTTGATATTTCTTTACAGGTAATAGTAATTGTGAATAACTTTTATCCCAATATTTAAGTGCTGTTTGTGTAAATAGTGTGTACCTGTATAAATTGCAATGTCTTTATGTGTATTGATATCTTTTTAAAAAAATCTTTTTCCTTGCACTTACCTGGTTAAGAATAAATTACCGGGAAAGTTTTGATTCCGGATATGAATTGTAGCGGTTTTTTAAGGTTGTCATTTTTCAATGGACTTGCATTTTTTGAATTACTTACCAGTCCTTCTTCCAAATAAAGCTGAAATTAAGAAACAGAGAAAATTAGATTTAGTGAAATACTTTACAGAGTAACGTTGCGTGTATCAAACGGCATTATCTATTCGATTTTTTTTTTTGGTTAAAACTAAAATAAGTTGATTTGTAAAATGATTTAAAAGCATATTCACTGCCAAAATTAATGAACCTTGAAAGGAAATTTTACTTAAAAGTTGAATAGATACGACCTTTTTTGAGATACCCTGAATTGTAATAAAATTTCTTTGTTTCATTCAAATGCAATCGAAATTTTTCCAAATTCAATCATTTCCGTGATCAAATAATGATGCCTTTATACATGTACTTAGAACGTAAAATAAACTGCGAATACTTACAATTCCATGTTCTGGAAATAGAGGAGAAAATTGCATCTAAAAGAAAATAATAAATTGCCGATAAAATAAAATTCTGTATGGACCTATGGGATTAAGTATACCTACAATTGCTGTATACTGTAAACGTTTAAATAAATTGGCGCATTGAAAGCTAAGGACCACTCCCTCTTCAAAGGATTAACGCATTTGAAGCTAAGTCTACTGTTTTTAAGCACCCTTTCTACGCAGTGCAAAATGTTATTTTGTACGTTGAGCTTATCTATTTAATTTTCAATATATGGTACATGACATTTACCCCAGGAAATATTTTCAAATACTATAAAATCACATATTTTCCTGGGGTCAAATTTTCGTGGTTTGAGGAAAAACTCTTGCTTCGTGGGGATTTGATTTCGTGGACTATTGTTAAATAGAAATGTATGTTACATTTTACATTTCGTGGTGGACATGAATTTGTGGGTCTCTTCATACCTCGAAAACAATGAAAATTAAACCCCCGTGAAAATATGTGATTTCACAGAATAACAGAGTATCACGCAGTAAACAGGAATCACTATTGTTTATTACTACGGAGATAATGCTTGTAAATAACATATTCAATTAATTTAGCTTCGTCTTTTAAAATGTTAAGAATACTTGAATTAATTACAAATTTAGGAATACAATGTTAATTTCCATTTATTGGAATTTATATCTAAGGGCAGATCACTCTAATTTGCAGAAAAATACCATAAAATCATAACTCTAGTGTGCAGTATAGAGAGGGTTCTTAAAGATAATGATTTTGAAATAATTTATTCTCGTCTGGCTGAAATAGTGGACTAGGGGCATTGCAATTTAAGGCGCTATTTTAATGTGATAAGTACGTTAACAGTAGTCTAGAAAGGTTTCAATGGTCCTGGAACATGCCGCGTATTTTAAATCTAAGCTCAAAACTATTTATTCTATTGTTTTGAATTTTCTTGCTTTCTTTCATTGTTTGATTTAACATTTTCGTTTAACAAAATGAAATACATGTACCAAAATTCTTAACTTTTAACGACCAGAAAGTTTTATCTACCCACAGTAAAGTAGTCTACGTTCTTGGAGTTTTGATTTTTCCTCGAAGGTCCTTTATATTCTGATGCTTTCAGTAAGTTTTGTGCCCAAAATTCCCATTTTATTTTTTTTTTAAATCGGAAAATATGTATATGAGTAAATCTGTAATGTCTGATTACTCAAGTGATTTGAAAAAAAAAATAAATTTAAAAAATCGAAAAAGATACTTGGATAACTAAAGTGATTTGAAAGAGATAGATTAAAATCAAATCATGTGCATGAAAAATATCTTTAAATATTTGCAAATTATTATCTAATTGCAAATAAATTTAATTGCAATGTATATTCGTATATAAAAAGTAAGAAACTGTTATAATAATCTTTTTTAAATGTAATCTTTAGTGAAATGGTCGAAGAAAACAGAGAAATAAAAAAGGTTTTTTTTTTTAAAGAAAATATTTGTACTAAAAGATTATTTTAAAGGCAACTGAATATACATATATACAAAAAAGTAATAAACAATTAAATTTATATTTAATAATTAGTCCTTACCAGACTCCGGAAGAAGGGCGATGCAAATCACCAAGAGAAGTAAAAATTTCAGCCCCCCTGAAAAATAAATATCCAACAAAAATCATGAATCAGAACCGTTCTATATCCTTCACACACGTACACTTTTATTGGATAATATTACACTCATTAATAACACGGATGCATTCTTCACCACTAGCACAAATTTGTTGAATCCAAAACTTGATATTTGAAAACGAAAGAGCTTGTATTTTAAAGACATTTGATTATAAATTATCATTCACTTATGGCAATAATCAAAATACTTATTAAATGAATAAAACAAATAGAATTTGCAGTTTTGTGATTTTTCTATGCAAAAAAAAAAAAAAAAAAAAGATAACCCATAGCCCTCTTCGTTGAGTTGACTTGGCTGGAGCTCTGTGGGACTTTGAGTGGGTCTCGTTTTTATAGTAGATTTTCGGAAATAACAGAGTTATACTTTTATAGATAGATAATGCACTGACAATATTGAATCAAGGCATTATAAGTTTAGTGTATTGGACCGCTGTTTATTATACTTATTTGTTCAAAACTTTATAAAACGGATAAGATTTAACTTTAAGACAGACTTTTAACTTAAACTAGAACGTTCTCGTGTGATTTTGAATATGAAAAAAAATGTTTTCAGGAAATCTATCTTTTAAATGATTTACCCCACCAGGCATTTAGCAAACACAATGTAACGACAGTCTTCCTAAACATAGTATCAGCATCGGTTGCCATTTTGTAATGCCAAAACTGCCTAACCGAGGTTGTTTTTGAAGGTTTATAGATAAATACGTTTTGATGTTTTCCATGTTCTTTCACGAAGTTATGCGTAATGTGATATATAATCTTTTAGAAAAATATATGACGTACATTTCTCAAACATTATACGTTTATTGACTGGGATCGAAGGCAATATGCTTTTGTCTGACCCAAGAACCAAACTGTATGCCTAAGACCGTTAAGCTGAAGGCAAACAG